TTTTGAATTTGTATTGTTTGATGTGGTTTGTTTTTTCTTTTTCTTTTTCTGTTTTGTTCTCTCTTGTAATTTTAAAAAAATTTCAATAAATATCATTTAAAAACAAAAACAAAAAAAACCTAGGGAACAGGAAATGTCTGGTTTTGCCATATTCAGAAGATACAGTGAAGATCCGGCTATGAAAGCAATCATCTAATGATTAGCTTCCATGGAAACACATCATGTAAATATCCCAGGCTGTTATTTGTTAAGTGCCAGAATCTGGCCAGGTTTTGGCCTAAAGCAACCCACACTGATAGCTCTATTCACATAAATGTGATAGTAAAACCCATTACAATATAATATCACCTATTGAAGCACCCCTTAGTAGAAATGACTGAGGGATTGCTTCAACGTGCCTCATTTAGAATACCTGCTACACTAAATAGGCTGGACCACTCTCCTTTTGTACTCTGGAATAATTTATACAACCAGTAGAATCCAATCTTTTTTGGACAGTACTGCTTCAGGAGAGGCTATTAAATGTACCCCCACATCAAAACCTTGTTGGCAGAAAACTTACTTGCTGGGGAGAAAGTTGAGCTTAATTTCATTCAGTGAGATGCACACACAGCGGCAGCAATGGATGTGGCACACTCCTTGGAGGCCGGATCTGCTGCTTCCTCGGCAGCCAACGCTGTCTCTACAGCAGGCTCTCTGCAGATCGGAGGCCCTGCTGGTCTCCTCCCAGCCCAGGCAGGGAATGCCCTCTGGGGTCTCCTGGGCTCTGCACCCACGCAGGAGGATTCAGATCCGGCCCGCGATGACCTTTGATTCCTCGCCATGTTCTCGATGTGGAGGTTTATTCCCCTCTTGTTTCCCATCTTCACTCATCCTTTCTTCCATGGCAGGGGCCGGGAGCAATCTACGGTTCACCTCAGGTGCTAACATGTATTGAGCCATCCCTGATGTGTGGTGCAGTCCAGAAAAGAAGCCTGCCTTCTTGATCTGCTGATTCTATAAACTAGTTCTCTGAGTTGCCTTTAGGCAGGACAATTCTACATGACTGAGGGCTTGTCCACACACCCACTTCTCCCATGCTTTCTTGGCCTGCGTCTGAGTGGTTTTGCCTTTGCCTTGCCACTTTCCCCCAGAAAAATTGCTTCTTGCACCAAAATGGAATGAACGGCAATCAGTAGGAAACCCAGCTGCCGTTTGTGTCAATTCAGTGCTAAACCACGGATTTTCCTTGGAGAAAGTGGTGGGGAAAACAGAAGTGTGCATGAGTCCTGAGTCTTAGGTTGTGTACACACCATTTACTCTGGCTCCAGTGTGCTCCCACCATGGGCACTTGGTCCTTTATAGACATGGTGTGAGCTACAATTCATATCTATTCTGCAGTTTCTTGATAAATAATGCTGTTTGATGTGCTTTTCCTCAAACCAGCTTCCATCCAGTTAGAAAACGCAAGTCGCAGGTAAGCTCCATTTGAGACAGCTGTTGCCTATGTGCATGCACAGATGACATCTTCATGACAGTTTGGAGGAGGGGCTGCAAGCGTGGAGGAACCGAGCAGGTGATGTGCCCCTTTCTTTTTCTTTCTTTTTTATGATGTGCCCCTTTCTGGTGTGTACAGCAACATGCAAATGTGACTTCAAAGGCAGCACGGAAAAGCGACCTTGCTGTATTTAAAGCAGCTAATGCGCACATAGCCTCAGCCATTTCTGTTGCTGCTTGCTGCTTTTGTTTGGAGCTATGGTGCATTCCAGTGGCCAATATGGTTAGCAGCAATGTGCTGCCTCTTGGAGAGGCTTAAAACGGTTGTAGTCTCAGTATTTCTGATGAAGGTCTATGGACAAGTCTAAGGAAGGCAGGAGTCCAAGGTAAGCTGAATGAAGGAGAAACGCAGAAGATCATTAGACATTGATAGAACAGGCAGAGACTAAGGGCAGCCGGTAATTGGAATCAATACATATTAGCATTTTAAAAGCCATAATTTCATAGCACTTCAATTAGCTGAAACTGAAGCAGGAAAGAAAACAGATTAGTTCATGAAAACAGATTATTTCATGGTAAGATAAGGTTAAAATAAATTAAGGTAATTTAATGACAGAATATAGTGAAAGATGGAAAGGATTTGCTGAGATAATTAATAACTAGAATACAAAAAAGGGAGGTGTGAGGAGGTCGATGAAACAAGTTAATGAAAGACAAAGATTTGGGAATATTGGATTTGTTTTTAAATTTTTTGTTTATTTTTGTTTTTGGTTTTGATGTATTGTGTGTTTTGTTTTTTATTTTTTTGTTTTTTTTATTGACTTGTATTGTTTAATTTCTCTTTTTGTCTACCTTTTTTCCTTTTCCTTTTTTTCCCTTCTCTATCTCTGTAATTTTAAATTCTCAATAAATATCATTTAAAAAAAGAAAAAGGAAACAGATTAGTTCAATCCACGGAAACATAGTGGCTTGAAGATTGATGGGTAGAAACAGGCAGGTTGTGACAGTGTTGATTCATCTGTCAAAGTAAGCAAAGAGGAATCACATATTCAAAAGAGAACGTTTGCCATGGCCTTAAAGGACAGTTTGTCTGTGGCGGGAAGGTAAGTTGGATAGACCCAGAATGGCAGTTTTCAGGCCAAAGAAACTGATTAGCAGGAAGATGCAGAACAGACAAAAAAAAAGTACATATTCATGAAATGCATATTTAACTTTTGAAATTTGCATCCACAGCTTATGTTGTTGACAGTAACCTAGATTACTTGAAAAAGAATTAGTCAGATTAATGGGGTGATAGAACCTCTGTGTTTAAGTGCAGTGTACCTCTGAATATCAGGTGATGGAGACAAACAGCATGCCTATTACACTCACTTCTGGGAAGCCCACAAGCAAAGAAGGTGGGGTTCCCAGAAGCAAGTGTGCCTCTGAGTGTGCAAAGTATTTTTTTTTAAAGGCCAAAACACTCACCTTTGAACCCCCCCCCCACATTTTTACGGTTTTTATTTTAAAATATATGTTATCCTTTTCTAGTACAAAATCTAACTGATTAATACATTAACGTGATTAGCATCAGGATGGAAGAGGCAAAGTCAATTTTTCTTCTGATGATGCTATGATTTAAGTGATCCCTGTAAGACCATGAAGTCTACCTAGTTGCACCACTGAGGGAGGGACCATCTTGGTTTTCACATTCATTTAGGGCAGGGTGTGAAAAACCCTCAGCCCTCCAAGTAGAATGGTAGAATTGGAAGGGACCCTGAGGGTCCCCAAGCAATGCTGAATCCCATCATCCTTAGACATTGACTGTGCTTGTACTTGTAGTTCAGCAACTTCTGAAGGGCCAAAGATTCCCCACATCTGGTTTAGGGAAAAGCCTTCTCCCATCTGGGTCTCCCTCCCTATCTCCTTCTCTGACGTGTGTCTCAATTCTGATGCTCTTCTGCTCCACATCCTAATTAAACCGTACTTCACACACTTAGACAGTTTCTATTATTTGATGCCTCCCATTTGTGCATTTAAATCAACCTCCCCCAACCTTGTGCCCTCCAGGTGTTGTTGGACTACAACTCCCATAAGCCCAGACAGCATGTCTAATTGGCAGGAATGATGGGAGTTGTTGGAGGGGTTTGTGCTGCTTTGGATTATTTGCTTCCGTTTCAAGGCACGATTTCCGCTACCTGCTTCCTCAACATTCTTGGACCCCAGCCTTGAGAGAGCAACTCATATTTGTTAGGAAGGCACTCTGCTTTGCTGTCATCCTGAGCATGTGTCTTGTGCCTAACTCTGCACACCGCTAGGCAGTCACACAGCATGTACGGTGGTACCTCTGGTTTTGTACTTAATTCGTTCCGGAGGTCCATTCTTAACCTGAAACTGTTCTTAACCTGAAGCACCACTTTAGCTAATGGGGCCTCCCGCTGCTGCTGCGGGAGTTCTTAACCCGAGGTACTATTTCTGGGTTAGCGGAGTCTGAAACCTGAAGCGTATGTAACCTGAAGCATATGTAACCCAAGGTACCACTGTATTGGAAATTTGCTTATCCTCATTACCCAAGAGGTATAAGGACTCTGGATGTACTGTATCAAGTGCCTTATTCTGTACTTGACTCTTTGCCGTATGTAGACCCCACAGGGGCTGGCCTCTTGTTTAGTTGTTCAGTAGCCCTGAGAACAAAAAGCAGCCTCGGCTGGTAAATTAGTCAATCATCATTTACATTAGTAAAGGTTAGGATCCCCACACCCAGGTCTGCACACTGAACCCCTTTTGCACCCAGCCCATTTGCATGAGATGTACCAGAACCTAGTCTTCCTATTCTCCTTCGTATATGGTGCCTTCCCCTTTCCACTCATCACCAATGCCTGAAATGTGTGTCCTCAGTGAGCTTCCTGAATGCACCTACCTTTTCTCCTCCTTTTTAAAAGAGCATGCAACTTCCATGATAGGTCACCCCTCTCCTCATGAAACAGAGTCTCTTCTCCAGGAGACTATGCCACTCAGTCTTGCAGTCCTCTCCTAGGACAGACTGCTCCATCCTCAGCTTGTTCCCACCTCCTCTGCCCCTTGCCTCCTCCCCATGTTTATTGTTTTATTTTGCTTTAGGTAGGACCCAAAGGCAACACAAAACCTTGTGCTCTCCCTTGAAGACATTTTCCTGTGTTTGCACCAAATTGTTTGCCCAAAGGCTTGCTTACCTTCCCAGAGCACTCTGGGCTCCTGTTTTCGGTTTTGAAAAATGCTTCCATTGATGGCACACTAACATGCATGTTTGTGTATAACATGTGACTGGGGATAAATTTAACACATTCCACCCCAATATACTGATAATTACATCCAGTACCTTTGGGCATTAGCATGTATTCCTGGCTGCTGCAGCTGAAAAGCTCTGGCAGAAAAGTTGCCCTTCCCCAACTCCAACTCCCTTTTCAAATACTAAACCTGAGGCAAGAAGGAGCCTCACAAAAGACTCATTTGTGATGACACCTGCTTCACCTGCCTTCTGAGAGCATCTTTGAATATATGGACGGATGAAGGGAGCCAAGGAAGGGGGCTGGTTCGTTCCTGGTCTTTCCCAATACAAATGTTGGCAGCTTCTGTATTCCCAGGACTATTCTGTTCTCCAGGTAAGAGTGGACATGTAATCAGGTTCTGTAATTAAGTTGGTGCCTTCTAGCAGCAAATGTTTCGCACTTACGAAGCACATGTGCTGAGGTGTAGCTTGAACATGGCCTACGAAATCCTAGAGAGACAAGAACATTAAGTAAACATTGTCTCTTGTTTCTTTGAACCAGACAACACTGCATCTTTTCCTTACAAATGAAAATTGCAGGAAGCTTTATATTTCACTCTGATGAAAATTAGATAGGACTGCAGATAGACAAACCAAATAGTTGTTTAATGAGAGGGGGTGTGCAGATCTGACCTCTGAGACTTCGTAGGGTCCATCCTCATGCTTTCTCTCGTATAAACCTGGTCTACTTTATTACTCTAGCAGTCAGTGGCTTTCCATGGTGTTGGACAGAGGCTTCTCGCAGCCTTGCTAGTTGAGATCCTATCTAGTTGAGATGTTGGGGCTTTAACCTGGAACAGTCTGCACACAAAGGATACAATCTAGTATCAAGCTATGGCTCTTTTCACTGCATCCCCCTGCTCCTAAGGCCTAGTTTCCTAAGCTATGCACTCCTCTTCAAAATGCTAAGATAGATTCCTATCACACCTCTTTAAAAATCTTGGTGAACTTCTTCCCCATTCACGTTTTTAGGCTGGCCAAGACTCTTCTTCTGCCAGAAACATGAATGTTGTACGAACTGTGTGTTTGCCGTAAGTATTCAGTTCACTTTAAAATTATTCCACAAAGGTCTGTAAAGTTATGCTACATTAATTTGTGTATAGAATTTCCTCTGTGTATCATTTTAAGACATATCTGGAGTTCAGTTCCTAATGTGGAGGGGGGTTGGGTGAAAGGTGGAAAGTCTGGTGAAGAGAATAAAGCCTGGGTAGTACTTGAAGGTTTATCCCACAGAACTGTGAGGGTGTATTATGTTTTCAGTGTAATTTAAATGGCATTCTTGTTATTGGTTAAATGAAGCCGAGTTAGGTCCTCAGCCATCAGTGTGGAACCTGTGGCCCTTCAGATGATACTGGACTCCAGTTTCCATCAGCATGGCTAATGGTCAGGAATGAGGAGAGTTGTGGTTTAGCATCTAGAGGGCTACAGGTTCCCAGCTGCTTACCTAGACAGTAAGTTGTAACTTGGTGCATTCAGTACACACAAATTATGTAAGCACAGGAGTTCTCAATCACTGTGCAAAACACTTCTTTCTAAGGATGTGTGTACACTGGATCAATTCTTAAAGGGAGGAAGAGTGCAGGCTGCATGGGATTTACATATATCCAGCATCCAAATTGTGGAATAGCGGAGCAGAAAATGGGGTGAAGGAAAAAAGGAATCTCTCTCTCTCTCCTTTCTACTTATGAGCGTGATTCAGAGGAAGAAAAGGGAAGAATAGCTTCAGGAGATGAGCTCCATCATGCCTCTCGCTTTGCTCCCGCCTTGCTAGTGTGGAAGGGCCAAAGATCCTCAAGATACTTGTTTGGACTTCTTGAGGAACACTGTGAGAAAAGGAAGCACACCCAGCAGAGCTCGTGACAACTTCATACAATTGCAGGTATGGCTACCCATCACTCCCACTAATGGGGGACCAGAGAGAGTTTTCCTGAAGCCCAGTTTCCCAACACACAGTACATACAAATCAGGAATGGGATGGGTTTCTATATATAGATTGGTAGCGAGGACTTAACTTAGCTTCCGTTAGCACAAGTGAAGTGCAGTTTCTGGCAGTGCTTCATGAGACGCATCTGGCTATTATTTCAAGAATTACGCTTAAAAAAATTATTGGTTTTGTAAGAAAAAACACACAGTCAGCGGTCTCTCAACAGTGCTATTCATACAGCACGCTATTTATTTAAAATTTTTGTTTAGAACTTTCACTCACTGATTGGTAAAGGGAGTGCTGATGTAGTGAGAAAAACAACCAAAATGGTCATGATAAATCGTAAGATTTTACTATTATCTGGCACAATCTTTTTAAAATTAAAACAGACTTTGCTGACTTCTGAATCCTAAATAAATGTTATTCTTCAAAGAACCTAGCTTTTGCTTTTATGGAAGTGTTTGTAAGTAACCCCAAAAGTACGTGTGGCAGGCGGTGGCGGTGGCTGTTGCCATCCAAAAGGATTTAATAGCAGGTGTGGGAAATGTGTACTTAACAACAGTGTTTGATGAAGGAGACAAAGACAGCAAGAAGTCTAAGGGCATAGTCACATGGTGCATTCTCAGGTTTGTGTTGCAGGCCGGTTCACACATGCATGCTCAGGATGACCGCAACATTAGATGATGACTTCGGAACTATGAATGGGCCTTCACAAATCAAGGACCACAGATACCTCCTCACTTTACTTCAGATTTAATGGCCCCAATCCAATTAAAACAAACGAGGCTTAAGTTAATTGTCACTAATTTGGCACAGGTTTCCAACGGGTTGTCAGCTAGGCACTATGAGGTGTGAGTAATCCAGCAATAAGCCAAGTGGTGCACATGAGCCCACAAACCTGCCCCTGGTTTGCTTTTCCAGGGCATCAGATTCACGGTGTTTGGTCCACACTGCTTTGCTGCTTGTTTGCGCCACAGACGGGGCAGCCACTGAGGATGCGTCTTCTCCCCTTTGCAGTGCTGGCATGGAATTCTTCCACACCTCAAATACCCTGTTTCTTCTGAAACTTCTTCCTACAGCTTTATGTGAAAGCATAAAATTGGAAAACGTGGAGATTCTCATGCACTCAAATCCTCCAGCCCAATTCATACGCTTCCCGTTTGTTGCAAGGACCACTTCCATCTACTTAGACCCCAAACCACATTGATAACCTCCATCAATAGGAATCACATAGGCTAGAGGAATGACATAATTACTTTCCAAACCAGTAATTGCACCTGCAATCTTTTACTTTTTACTGATGCTATTGCTGCACTGTGGAACACAACCATGCGGAAGGAGCTTTGATGGCAGGGAGGCAATGTACACACGCCAGGCCTAAGTGGTGGAAGAATGGGAAGGGGGCAGGATTCCTTTAAGGAAAGTGTGCCACAAGTCCAGTCCAGAGAATGAGAGAATACTAGTTTTGTGTGCACTATAGCACATGGACACAGCTACCCAGCCCACTATTCCACCAGGTCCTTCACTGTAGGTTTTCCTCTGGTGTCTTGATCCAGGGCAGCAGCAGTATAACAGGGCAGAGGCAGACTGGAGACCCCAGGTTCGTGCTCCCTTGCCTGCCCCCCATGTAGCACCTTTGCCCCAGGCTGGCCTCTGATGGAATGGTGTTGCTTTCACGGGTTTGACCGGCAGCTGGTGCAACCTGCCCAAGCTCCACTGAAGTCTGTGGAATAGACAGAGACACTTTCCCACAACTGAGGTTCAGTGGTATTACCATTATCTAAACCACGATGATCCATTCCCCCCCCCCCATGTGTCCCTCCTATGTCATTCTGGTCTGAGGGGCATTCTCTTTATCTGAATTTCTAGCTGCTCAAGAATTTCATATGACCCCCTCGCACCCTTCAGTTATCCTGTGTTCCTAAGCACAAACTAGGATTCTTATCAAGAGTGCATCAGACAAGGCTCTGCCTGCTCACATCCACATTGTACCCTGATGAACTTGAGCAGCTCTGGCTGAAATCAATGAAAATCCCATCAGAATCTGACTCAATAGACTCCAAAATTTGGTCCACTATATTTTCAGGGCTGGCTGTAGGGGCTATGGCAATCAAGTCTGAGTCCCTGGCCAGCTCAAATGCTCTCTTCTGGTCATCTCTTGCGTAAAAGAATCCCTTCTGTTGCTCAGGTGCATTGAGGTTGCTGGGGCACTGCGCTGAGCTGGCAGAAAGCCTCTCTGACTCTCCTGACTGCGAATTCTTCATGGTGATCATGGAGGTCTTGGAACCACTGTCTGTGATGGTTGTGAGGTTGGAGTAGCCCTGCATCTCTGTGCAGGAAGTCATTTCGGAAACAGAGTGCCTTCGGATGCCAGTGCCATTGGGGGCCACGCCCTCCGTTTCGTACTCAGCTACTGGAGTCAGCAAAGGATTGTTGTAACTTTTGGATCTCACCACAGGGTTCTTGGTCAGGATGTCCCCCGATTTGGATCGCCGGAAGAAACGTTTTTCTGTTAACAAACATGAAGACCAGTTAAAACCTGTACACAACCCTACGCTTTTCTTGTGAGCATCGTTACCATCACTGCTACTACCACCATGAGAGGTCTGCGGTCAAGTATTTGGACAGTTGCTTCAAATCAATATGTAAACATCAGGCTTAGCCTCACCTCTGTCATGTGCACCTCTTCTCGCCCCCCACCCCCCAATTTCCCCCTACATATTTGGACTCTTCCCCTTTTCTTCCTCACTCTTCAAACCCATCCTTTCCTAAACTTGCCTGACCAGGTTCAGACACTTGGCTGTATGTGCTTGATGAGTTGCCATTTCAGGTCTCTGCCTCCTTCCCTTCTTGGCCTCAGCATCTTCTGCTTCCCTCTCTAGGGCATGTGCAGCAGCAGCAGCAGCAGCAGCAACAACAACAAAAACCTTTCTGCCACCCCCCTCCTGCCATTATGGCAGATCAGCCTGGAGACTCTCAGCCTGGAGACGGCCACAGCATCTCACAGTGCCTTACAGTATAGATTATTTGGACACAGAGATCCCAAATTGGATGGGGGGGGGGGACTGCATGTTGAGATTCCTGCATTGAGGGGGTTGGATTATTTGACCCCAGGGGTTCCTTCCAACTCTACAATTCCATGACTCTAGGCCTTCTCAGACTAAGGTCAAGTGATCTCTTAATCAGTTTCAGAGAAGTTTCTAACTTCTATTATCAATTTCCTCTTTGGGGAAAAAAGTATATTCAGTCCTGTTCTTCCTTGAAGAGCTTAGGTGAGTGAGATGACAGTGGTCACAACTTTCAGGCAGCTGAGGCTGTTCAGCTGAGTGCTGTTTCATCAAAATAGCCACAAGGAAGCAGCAGCTTAAAGCTGTCACATGCAAAGGAGCAAATACCAGCTCCTTCTCTTGCAGATGAAATTATTTTCAAAAAGGGTATAGAGTAACCAGCATCTTTTCCATAACCAGAATCTGCCTTTAAATAGAAGAACTGGCATAGAAGCCCTTTTCTTTTTAAGCGTCTTTTACTTCTTTCTGCATCCTGTCTAGCTAAGATGTTTGTAGGATTATTTCTGTAAATTACTTTGGAATCTGTCTTAACAAATGATGGCAAATAAGAAAAAAGCCGATGATGTTGTAGATTCACCTTTCTGACTCTTTTTCTATGTATCCCTAATATTTACCTGACAATCAGTGGCAGAAAAGGGGAAAAGGAAATGCAGCAGCGCTACTGGTTTGCCACGTCAGAGGTCACAGCCCCCAACTGGGGGGTAAAATTATTATGGAAACTTTGTCCAACAGACAGCTTCCCAAACTCGCCCCCGTCTGAGAGCAGGGGAAGTGTCTTGTGGAAAAGAAGGTTCATTTCCTCTCAGGCTTCTCTCTGGTAGTCAACTGCATAGACAGAACAGTCCATTGCTCTTCATAGGCTGGAAGCACTCTGCATGTCTGAACCACGGAGGCACTGCAGTGCCATTCTCACATCCTTCTACCAGTGTCAGAAAATATTTGAGGCTCTTTTCTAGCACCCACTGAATGTTAGCCCTAGTTTGTCATGAGGTTCTCTAGCCTACCCTACTCTACCAACTTGAAGTTGGGAAACCTCTGGCTTGGTCCTGGGCCAAGTTCATGGAGTGAGATTTTACGATGCATATTTTGCTTACCTCAGACAACCTCTGCCGTCTTCCAGCAAAGAACTTGCATTGGCACAAAGGCCTGCCCCTAGTTTATCATCCAAGCGAAATCTCTTAGGTAAGCTGGTTATGGAGGACATTTTACACAGATGCCTAACTTTGGTATAGTTGTGCAGTCCCAGCCAGAAAATGATACCATGTTTTGTGGACAAAAAAGCACTTCAACAGACATATTGTGTTTTAGAAGACGGTGTGAACGTTACCTAAAATGCAGGATGAGTGTGGGATAGGCCCATCGCTGGAATACAAGCCATAGGTGCCCAAGTAAGGAGAAACAACCTTTTGCAACAGGTTTTCCAGTTTCAAATAGTCTTCGGTCACCCCTTTTGATTCATGAACACCCTGAGAAACACATGGGGGGGGGGAGGAAACACAAACGTCAACATTTCAGACTTAAGCTATCAATCATTGCAAAGCGAGGCTGGTGTACTTAATTGCTGTCAGGGACATGCATTGTTTAATTACAACTTGTGTGTCACATTCTGCAGGATTTGAATGAGAAACCTTGTGGATTCTGTTCTGGATCCTTGTGATCCTCAGATGAAGGGCGGGATAGAAATTGAATGAATGAATGAATGAATGAATGCTGGTATGGGAAATGAATGGAGGGAGGAATTGCAAACAGTTCCAACCTGGTCTGTGGATTGCAGTGAGCCAATCCCTTGCTTCTGCTTGATCTAAATCTGCACTCCCTAGTCTTGACACAATAGCTCAGTCAGTAGAGCACGAGACTCTTAATCTCAGCAATGTGGGTTTGAGCCTTATGTTGGGCAAAAAGATTCCTGCATTGCAGGGGGTTGGACTAGATGACCCTCGTGGTCCCTTCCTACGCTACAACCCTGTGGTTCCATGACATTCGTAGCCAAGATAGTGCAGCGGCACTGGAGTCCTGGATAAGGGCATGAGAGGCCCAGGTCTGAATCCCCACTAAGCCACAATGCTCATGGGGTGATTTTGGAGCAGTCCTTTCTCTCAGCCTACTTTACCTCCTACGGCTGTGCAAGGGTAAAAAGGGGGAGGGGGAGTACCATGTCTGCCACCCAGAGCTCCTTGGAAGGAACACATGTTCACAAACTCACTCACACAAGAGGCCTCCATCTTGTAGATAAGCCCATGTTCCAGCCCAATAGTCTCATTGTGTAGGAGACAACCCTATATTCCAGACACTTCCCACATTTTGTACAGAATGCAATGCCCCATCATGATTCTCAGGACGTTGCACTATTTCCATGGACCACTAGGTGTCAGTGCAACGCAAGGGTTTGGGTTTGTGCTAATTCGGATAAAGTTATAACCCTAGAAATCCCCCCTCCCAGTTATTAGCTAGAGCAAAGTTTTTTTTACTTGTGGCAATCATATTAAGGATGTCAATTTTACATTTTCAGGGATGCCCTGAAACACTTCCAGTAAACTAAACAATTATTTTGTCTTATTCCTTTTTGTGAAGATCAGTAGTAAAGTGAGATAATCATAGAATTGCAGAGTTGGAAGGGGACCAGAGGACCACCGAATCCAACCCCCTGCAATGCAGGAATATGCAGCTGTCTCATACGGGGATCGAACCTGCAACCTTGGGGTTATCAGCAGCACACTCTAACCAGCTGAGCTATCCTGTGCCTTTAACAGCAGCCTGACATGCAGAAATGAAGTTGGCAAACCTTTTCCCAGCCCAGAGACAAAAGGAGGGGAAAAGCTTTCAAAAAGAGTCACAGCCTTTCTTGTCTCGTCACAATCTATTGCCACAACCACCTGCACAATTCCTTTCTGGCCAGCTATTGCCGTAGATCTTCCAGAATTTCCTGGGAATGGATTGCTCCTCTAAAATTTTAAATGTGGAAAATTTGTAGCCGTTTGTATATACATACATAAGCACCCCTTGCAAGTTGTTTAACGGTGCCAGTGCATGTTTCCCCATGATGACTATTTCAGGTCCAACGGCCGCAGACTCTAAATGAATAATGTGGACTTTTAAATCCAGAAACTGAGGGATTACCTCAGGTCTGTAAATAGCCACTTGCCAGGTTGTTTGTACCAAGGAAGAATCACTGAAGCTGCAGAGATTGCTTTCAAAGTGAGAGTTGGTTCCACTTTACTTAGGGAAATCTAAGCAAACGTTTTCCCTCTTTAATGTTTTATTGATTCTTTCACACAATGTGGCAACAGACTTGCAGGTGATAAGGAGCTGTAACAAGTGCTTTAAATGTGCAATGAAAACACTCACAAACCGTTTACAGCTATTCAGAATGATAGCTCTGTTAAAAACAAAGCACACGTGCATCATTGCTGTGGAATAAAAAGGTAAAGGTACCCCTGCCCGTACGGGCCAGTCTTGCCAGACTCTAGGGTTGTGCGCTCATCTCGCTCTATAGGCCGGGAGCCAGCGCTGTCCGCAGACACTTCCGGGTCACGTGGCCAGCGTGACAAGCTGCATCTGGCGAGCCAGCGCAGCACACGGAACGCCGTTTACCTTCCCGCTGGTAAGCGGTCCCTATTTATCTACTTGCACCCGGGGTGCTTTCGAACTGCTAGGTTGGCAGGCGCTGGGACCGAACGACGGGAGCGCACCCCGTTGCGGGGATTCGAACCGCCGACCATGCGATCGGCAAGTCCTAGGCGCTGAGGTTTTACCCACAGCGCCACCCGCGTCCCTTAGCGCCACCCGTGTCCTGTATTCCTGTGGAATACAGGAATGATAAAAAATACCTGTAATCTGCTATATATAGTCTTACTCCCCCCCCCACCCCAAGCTGATGTTTCGTCAGAATTAGAACTTGCTAGGTCTCATAGTTTAACTGGAAGCCCCTAGACTTTAGCTGCAGGTCAGGGGGCCCAGCAGGAAGGAGTTAAATTACTCTACCCAAATGCAAAGTGCTGCCTCCCCAAGTCCTTTGCTAGACACAGTTCTATGATCTGACCTGATCTCAGGTAGGCTGCTTGGAAGTTTTGCAGAAGGCAGGGCTCACCTGCTTATTCTCTGCCAGTTGCTTTATTTAGTAGGGGAAGTCAACAGCTTTCTGGTGCCTGAGGCGGAAAATCTCAAAGACATACTAATACCAGACATACCAAATCAGTCCAAGACAGCTTTTTCTAACCAGCATTAGCTCTTTATTTATTCAATATCATTTTTGTTCTTCCTTAACACGTGCATGTACACAGAAGGCATTGTATCTAAAAGTATAAAAGCATAAGAGACTATGCCAGATTTAAAAACCACGGAGTCAAAAACTTGTAGCGGCTCATGGAAAGCTCACCTAAAGGAAAATGGCCCTGGCTGAGGTTTTTGCCAGTCTTGTGATACGAGACCTTAAACTGGGATGCCAGGGGCTGAGATCTTCTGTATTCAAACCACGTGCTCTGCCCCTGGTGTTTTCCCTAAAACTTGCCTTATACTGCGTCAGACCACTGGGCCAGCAAGCTCAGGATGATGCACTTTACACCTTGTTAATTTAGAGATGGCAGTGACCCTGACCGCCCTGGGCTGACCCCCTGCAATGCTGGAGTCTCAGCTATGGCATCCATGGCAGATAGGGCACAATGTCACAGGAAGTTCTCCTCTGCAAGTTCCACTGAAATGTAGCTGCACAAAAGAAACAGCTCCAAAAGCTTAAAATCACTATTTTGGGGGGAGATTTCCCCAGAAAAGCTCTACAATTTGGCAACCCTAAGAATTAACAAAGCTATGCTAGAAGCTTTAGAAAGCACGTTTAAAGAAAAAACCACCAATGTACATATTTCTGCACACCTAGGGAGTCCCCCGAGCATGGGCACGCCCTTATTTTTGGGTGGCCCTGTTTCACTTCCAAACTGAGATGTGCTTAGCTACCTGAGTTTAATGTGTGTATATCTCCAAGCAGGAAGCGGAGGGATTGGCAAGAATCTACTTTAAACGGCTAAGTTTGGCTTCCTTAAGTTTCTTTGAAGAGATATCCTATGCAGTGCTTTGAAGAAGTATGAATGCTGGCTTGACTGCTGTCGAGTGCTTATGAGGATAACACCCTCCCACCCTTTCACACCTATGTTCCAGGACTAAAACATTCATGAGTTTTTCATTTTGATGGATTTCAGCTTTCAAAGGCATTTCCACAGCCTTATCCTCTGTGAATAACTAAATCAGTTTGACTGGTTTTTTTCTTGCTTTTGAAGTATGACTAAAGAAGTGGATAGGAAATCTCTGTAAGGTTGTACAGAGCAACTTTTCTGGTATCTTAATAATTAGGCTACTGCCTTTTAAGCTAACACCATCAATTATTTTTATTAAGAATACAGTGATGTTTGCTAAGGGCAAATTCTTGTCTGTCACATAGAAGCCTGGGTGTTATTTAAATATCCAATACATGCTACTATTCACAGAGGTGTACATTTAAAGGCACAATTTCCTTGCAGCTGATTCTCCATGGTGTGTTCAACCCATGCGACTTCCACAATCACTTGGGAAGTGCATGTTTAAAATTACATTAATGTCCCTTTAAACACTCAGGGCCAAACCACGGAAGGCACCACACATGAAAATAAATGCTTAACATTGAGGCACCAATAGCAGATTTTTTAAAAAAAGATGCATAGGGTACCGTGGGACCACAGTGCACCCGGGAGTCCTAACCTTTCCTCCTGATGTCATGATCCTGATGAAAACTGCCACCTACACCTTACTGTTGGTGTCGGTGGGAGTTTCCCCTGCCCAAGGCTCACAGCAGCAAGGAAAGGGCTGGGATCACTGGGATCACAACTTGTAACAGTTAAACTTCCCCTGCCTGTGCACGGGTGGTTCCAGGGAAAACCGCTCGTCCCTCATGACTATTATTCGTTGTTTTTTCAAACATCCTTGATGAACTTACAAGTGACACGTTTAGGATCACGTCTTGTTTGATCCTCAGAAGAGACAACTAGGAAAGTCTTTGGCCCTTGCTTCTAAGTATTTCATAACAGCAGGCAAATGTACAAAAAAAGTTGATTTGAGTCCTACCCATGCACCTTTGATTGAAAGTAGGCCCTACTTACATTTGTCTGGGGGGAAAGGCAGATAGATGTATTATGTGCAACAGAGGGAACTCTATGTATGCCTTTCCACATCCGCACACACTGAAATTGCCTTCTAAGGAGCAAGCGCCACTGAATGCCAGTCCCTGGCAAAGGCTTCCAAGTACCGTATTTTTCGCTCTATAAGACGCACCAGACAACAAGACGCACCTAGTTTTTGGAGGAGGAAAACAAGGAAAAAAATATTCTGAATCTCAGAAGCCAGAACAGCAAGAGGGATTGCTGCGCAGTGAAAGCAGCAATCCCTCTTGCTGTTCTGGCTTCTGGGATAGCTGCACAGCCTGCATTCGCTCCATAAGACGCACACACATTTTCCCTTACTTTTTAGGAGGGAAAAAGCGAGCCTTATAGAGCAAAAAATATGGTAAATATGCATAGGTTTGGGCTAGTAAATTTATATGACAAAAGGTTATTATAGGATGACCTCTCCATTAAGAAGTTTCTTGCAAAAAAAGCACACCTTGACGTGTGCTTTATATATTGTAATTTTATGTTGTGAACTGCCCTAAGATCTACGGATGAAGGGTGGTGTTCAAATTTAATAAATAAATAAATACATTTCCAGTTCATGGCTTCATGGGGTAGCCTCTGAAGGGGAAAACAATGCCTTGAGGTGTCATTAGCTTGGTATGAGTGACTACAAACTCAGCCCTTCCTCCTAGGAATGAGCTCAGGATCGGGGTGAGATTTCCTTATTGTACAACTAGCACTTTCCATCCTCTTGACTTTCAGTGCTGTCGGGGGACTTCTGTGGCTGGCTATGGAGCTGCCCTTGGAAGTGGAATCCGTTCCAGCTTGACCTCGTCCTCTCCTGAGCTGTTCCTGGCCCACTTCCAGGCATTCACAATGCAGGATTCTTGCATTCTTTTACACTGTGAACAGAGCTTCCAGTGTTCTCCAAGCATGTTATCTATAATCAGGGTTTACTCTGATGCCACCGGTGACAGGCATCTTCATTGGCCTAATGGGAAAGAACTCTAGCTTCGTGTTCTGCCTTCATTCATGCCCAGTTGCGCAAACAGCCCTTGCTATTTAATACAAGGCTCAGTTAGCAGAGGAGAGCACTCAAAATTAGGAACTCCCATGTGCAGTCTGAAATAGTACAGAACATCCTACCACTTCAGGAGTGAATCCCACCTCCTCCTGTTGCAGGTGGCCTCACCCAAAAAGGATGTTGTTGGTATAGTATGGAACAGGAAACTTTGACTGAAATTGAACTGTGAAACTAAAAAATGTAACTTTTATTAACTCCTGCATTAGGATTTACAGAAGAGTCACCACCATAGTTTTCTCCATACACAACACTGAACACAATTGTGGTAGCTGCTGACATGACATTTCTCCCTGATAATCTTATGAAGCAGAGGCGAATACATACAAAGGGCCCCAAAAAGCTTTTGATATGGTCTCCCCTCTATTACAGGCCACACACAGCTGTTTTAAAAGTACAAGCCTACAACAACGACAGAGCTCAGTGTTGGTTGCAATAAAGTTCTCCTCCTGCCACCAGGCAAGATAAGAGCAGATCAGGAGTAGCTCGCTTGCCATGCCTGCCTGCCTGCCTGCCTGTGTGGTATGCCACCATATAGTAAATGGCCTCCTATGTCCTCATTTTGTTGTTCATGTAAAGGTAAGTAAAGCAGAGGAACAAAAGAGCATGGCCTTCCTGTAGCCATTTGGCTTCCTTTAATCTAGGAGCCAGGTATGGTCAGTTTCTGTATTCTCCACAAAGTGGTTTATAAGACAAGTGTACTTTCTGTGATAAACCAACTTTATCACTAACCAACTTTTTCTGTTTGCAAACCATCCCTTCTCTGATTAAAGATAAAGGTAAAGGTACCCCTGCCCGTACGGGCCAGTCTTGACAGACTCTAGGGTTGTGTGCTCATCTCACTCTAGAGGCCGGGAGCCAGCGCTGTCCGAAGACACGTCCGGGTCACGTGGCCAGCATGACAAGCTGCATCTGGCGAGCCAGCGCAGCACACAGAACGCCGTTTACCTTCCCGCTGGTAAGCGGTCCCTATTTATCTACTTGCACCCGGGGGTGCTTTCGAACTGCTAGGTTGGCAGGCGCTGGGACCGAGCAACGGGAGCGCACCCCGCCGTGGGGATTCGAACCACCGACCATGCGATCGGCAAGTCCTAGGCGCTGAGGTTTTACCCACAGCGCTACCCGCGTCCCACCTTCTCTGATTACTTAGTAGTAATTCTTACATCATGGGCCACCACATACATGGGTTCTGGCTGTCCTGTGTGGTGCGGGTGGTAATAATGGCATCTTGCCCCAAGAATCAACATACACGATGCACTTCTCAATGAATGGCTTCTTGCTACATGGAGAGTCACCAAATGGAGTAAACGAAAGCATCTTCTAAGAGGGGTCAACACCAGTAAGTCCTTTTGAACAGTTTGTTACGCTAAAGTCATGCACAAACACAATTTATATATTTGAGAAAAATCCGTACCTGTAGGATAAGTAACATCTGAATAATGGAAGGAGGAACCCTCGCTCTGGAACGGGACAAGGCATCTTCCAGTTTAATATTGAGAGTTATAATATTCCTGAAGTGCAGCAGAGACAGTTGTCGGACAGAGGGCTCCTTTCCCTAAAGAGACAATTGAATGAAAGTTGTTTTCAACACTTGTCGTTTGCTTGCTTTCAGATTTATTTGTGGAAGCCAGTTAAGCCTGCTTAAGTCCTTTTGATTTAATGGAAGATTCCCTAATTTAGTCTCGGCAGTAAGGAACACAAACTTTATGTACAATCAGGACAAAATGGAGATTCATAAGCTGAAGAACAATGAACAGATTCTGCCTTTATAATATTCCAAATAATTATGGGGAAATTACCATAGGAACCTTTGTGATGGTATTTACTTTCATTTTTAAAATTTATATAATCCATCAAAATGGCTGATTTCTGCCATATATGTTTCATAATGTAAAAATTAATGCAAAGATGATGTAAAATATCAAGACTGGTTATATCAATTCCATTTCTAGTTTTCAATTTTTGGGAGGGCATATGAATTATGGAGCAATCCCCCCCCCAACTATAATTTCAGCCACAAGAAATACATTGGCTCCCAGTACGTTTCCGAGCACAATTCAAAGTGTTGGTGTTGACCTTTAAAGCCCTAAACGGCCTTGGTCCAGTATACCTGAAGGAGCGTCTCCACCCCCATTGTTCAAGCCTGGACACTGAGGTTCTCTGAGGGTCTTTTGGTGGTTCCCTCACTGACAGAAGTGAAGCTACGGGGAACCAGGCAGAGGTGCCCTCCCGTCACATGTCAAGGAGACCAAGAACTACATAACTTTTAGAAGACACCTGAAGGCAGCCTTGTATAGGGAAGTTTTTAATGTTTGACGTTTAACTATGTTTTTATATGTGCTGTAAGCTGGTCAGAGTGGCTGGGGAAACCCAGCCGGATGGGTGACGTATAAATAATAAAATTGCTATTGCTGCTGCCACTACTACTACTACTACTTTGGGTAAGAGTTTGGTTAAGGAGATGGATATATATAATAATAAATATTTGTTTTTGTATGGAATGTGATGACATTGGAAATGCAACAGAAGTATTTTGGGCCCTCCAAAAGTTATTGTCCTGATCTATTAATCTTTAGTACTTGACTTTCTGTAGTTCTATAGAAATCCTATAACTGACTAATTCTATGAAAATTTCTGCCATTATAATCTGGATCATTTTATGTGGGGATAGAGGTTTATCGAAATAATATTAATCACAGTGGTGAATTTAACTCATGTTTCTTAGGATATTGTATTTAGGAATGTTTTGTTTTCAAACCTCTCTAAAGTTACAAACTTTTTTGACACTCCTCTTAGTTTTGAAAGTGGCTTGCGATAGTCACAGGACTGATGAGTGGTGGTGTAGAAAGCTAATCCCCAAACCTCATAACTCCAAATAGCCCATGGAAATGCAAAACAAATCAACTGATTCTCTGGATCCTAGCCAGTTATTTTGGAGGTACTGGACACATCTAGGCCGAGAAAGTGGTGGGACTTTTTGAAAGTTCAAGCTATAATTTTCTAGTGACACTGTGAACATCATGCTATGAAGAGAGACACGCCTACACAGGCAATTCTCTGTAATGAAAACACCCCCCCATGTGTTTGGCAGAAGTATTTCCTCATCTGTTGTCCCGCTGTGATATCTGGCTCTTGGCTGATCAACCTGCAGAGTCGCTTCTTCTGGTTTTTCCTGATTCTAAAGTAACAGAGCAATATTTTACCTGCACAGGATAGAATATAGCCTGAAGCATGGGCAGGACATCACTGAAAAAGAAATCCCACGTTTCAGCCAAGGTATCCAGAAGTTTCTGTCCTACAAATTAGGAAGGGGGGGGTTAGTCCAAGGGCTCATACTGAAGAGTTCTTTTTAAAAGGGTATTTTGTACAAAGGTGGAAAAGCAAACTACCAAATATATGCATTATGTGCCACATCAGAACTGTGCATACGTTGAGCTTCTTGTTTCTTTAAAATACATGCAAAGGAAGGAGCTCTTTTCCATTTTCCCTTTGCATACATTTGAAAGACAAACAGCTAAACACACAGATGAGCTCTGTGCGGCACAACCATTTAGTTCATGGGCACCGTGATGCATGAGATGGTATATGGCATACTACTGTAGAGTCTTGTGTTCATACCACTGGGAATCTCCTTCAAACATGAAAGTTCATGCAGAGATACAGGAGATTTATTTGCTGTGCAAACTGTGAATCAGGCTTAATAAGAGCAAACCCTGCCTCTTGAATCAGGAAGATTTTGTTCAAGCTCCATTTGGTGAGGCTCGAATGATTTTGTACCAGTTCAACGAAGTGTGCATGAATTAACGACTGTCTGTGTGTACCCTCCTTTTTAAAAAGCAATAAAACCAAGCCCCTGAAGGGCAGCTGATTAACACCCTCTCCTAAATTAATAAGATTCAAACTTACTTTTTTCGCAGGTGTGTGAGGGGAGGGGAGATTTATGTGCAGCCCCAGATATGTGCAACCCCTGAGACATGCCCCCACCCCGCTTTAAAGTCCCAGAGAATGGCCTTAAGTCACAGAATGGAGTTCCAGTGCAGAAGCTAAGCAAACCTGGATGGAAATGGCTATGAGCTCTTTGACAGAAGAGTGGAGTCTAAGGGAAGGAACATTCTCAGTGAATTGGCTTCTGCAGTTTTTCACTGATGTTCACAGGACTATTTGATCATAAAGAGGTTTATAATTTGAGGCAAAAGGTAAACAGCCACACGGGAGGCTGCCGTTTCCTCAGCTGATGTGCCAGACCAACTTCATTTCCTTGTTCAGCAGGCAGGAACATTAAACGACTGCTGGGGCAGAAGCAGGCTGTTGTTCTGGTCTGAAGCCAGTTGAAGAAAGAGTTTTGATTTGGATGCGCTTTTGGATCAAGCTCCGTAGGCACAATTGATGCCTCAATTACCTTCATAAAACCGGATCTTGTCCCTCAGGATCACCATGCCTTTTGTAAGCAGCTGGTTCTGCAAATACAACATAAAACAACTTTCCATTTATGTTATGCTGCTTCCCTTGAATTGTTGATAGATTATTACTTCCATATTTTAACCACAAGGTATTTTGGGTTTTTTTTAATGGCAGTTCATTAGAGGAGGGTTGCTCACAGCTTCTACTGGGCTACGTGAATAGTAATTGCAATGTATGGGATGTCCCATCTTAATATTTATAATGCTGTGAAAGCAGGAAAATTAAACCTGGAAACAGACAATATGCAAAGAAACTAGAATTATATAGTGTGGATTTTACTGGACTGCATAGCCTGGGTCAGATCCTGCTTTCCTTTCAACCCCTCACATTACTCACTGGGGAACGTTTAGTGTAGGATTGTTTTAAAAACTTGTGCTAACTCACATGACTGGGCTGGCTTAGAAATCACACGCTTGTATGGTTTTTTTTGTCACTTTCTAATTTTTGAGCTTGTAGAAAAACAACCACATATTCTTGCATGTGCAATAGCAGAAGATGCCACCAGCCACTGGCGCAGCTCCCTTGGCAGAGTCTGCTGAAGCCAGCAGCTGCAGAGCTGTAGAAACAGTTGCCAAGGCAAAAGGGAGGCAACTCGCAAGCATGCAAGCTCCGGATGTCTTATGAGGAAGTTGCAGGGGGATGAGATCCGTGAAGCTTGCTGCTAGGTATTTAATAGCCAGCAAGCTAGGGAGGACTCCTCTGCAACTGTCTCAGCTACAATCCACACAGAGCTCAGGGAAAGTGAGGAGAAGGAGGCAGCCAAGGATAAATCCTGTTTTCTTTGAGCATCAAACCACAATTTATGGGAGGAATTCACCACAGCACTAAGGAGATTGCTCCATCAGTGCAAGCCCTATTGAGCTCATGGAAGTCCTTGCACAAGCTTCTACTATTGGGATTAGCTAGTTGAACCCAGCCCTATGGCTAGCAGCCGTGTCAGGGTCCAAAACATTCCTTAACCTTAGGTGTGGGGCTCCCCTAGTTTTCATTGCAGCCACAGTGTGTAGGGAGGAGGTTAAACTCCTCTGGCCTGAGCCAGGATCCCTACAAAAGTGCCCCCCATTAGTCTTTCAATGTTATGTTGGCCATCTTTATATCATAATTTTGAAAACGTCCTTCAAATATTACCCCCCTAAATGTTAGATACATGACTTGAATTAATAAAATGGAACTAATTTATAGCAGCATCTTCTGCATGTCTGTCCTGGCCCCTCAGCTGTGCCAGACTGGAGCTGGTGCACCAAGAGTGACAAAGCTCCTACCTGCACCTTCAGCCCTGGCCAACATGAGCCGACAGGACTTCTGCTATGGTGGTGGATCTGCTGCTCTGCTGCTCCCTGACCTCCATCGGAATTGTTCCGTAAGTCCTATTTAGTTCAATGGGACTGACTCAGGTTAGAAGCGCCTGCTGTCAATAGTTTTGTTCAGCAGACTGCTTCAGTGAACAGCGTGAGGGAAAAGTAAAAGACTAAAAAGCAAACTGTACCAACCTGTAAATATTCAGTAAAAAATGATCCCAACTCAGTTTTCAGTAGTTGCCTGTTCCAAAGAGAATAATAATAATAATAATAATAATAATAATAATAATAAATCATGTGACCATCACATTGTGCTGTACATGCACCGTACTTTATGGCCAGTGAATGTTCATGCAAGAGTAAATGTGTTCGTCTATCAAAAATGACACAATACCTTGTTAGATCATAGTTGAACCACATAACACTTACTGAAATAGTGGCACTGGACAAAATGAGCAATTCCACATGGGAATGCTTGTTCTGAAGTAAAAACAAACAACAAAAACCTGCAGATTGCATCCCATCTAGTTTGCCCCTCAGTGTTGTTGTTGTTGTTTAGTCGTTTAGTCGTGTCCGACTCTTCGTGACCCCATGGACCAGAGCACGCCAAGGCACTCCTGTCTTCCACTGTCTCCTGCAGTTTGGTAAAACTCATGCTGGTAGCTTCGAGAACACTATCCAACCATCTCGCCCTCTGTCGTCCCCTTCTCCTTGTGCCCTCCATCTTTCCCAACATCAGGGTCTTTTCCAGGGAGTCTTCTCTTCTCATGAGGTGGCCATAGTATTGGAACCTCAGCTTCACAATCTGTCCTTCCAGTGAGCACTCAGGGCTGATTTCCTTAAGAATGGATAGGTTGGATCTTCTTGCAGTCCATGGGACTCTCAAGAGTCTCCTCCAGCACCATAATTCAAAAGCATCAATTCTTCGGCGATCAGCCTTCTTTATGGTCCAGCTCTCACTTCCATACATCACTACTGGGAAAACCATAGCTTTAACTATACAGACCTTTGTTGGCAAGGTGATGTGAGGCTTTAAAAGTAAGCCGAGCCTAACTTTCCTGGTGCCTTCAATTTTAATTCAGAAAAGCAAAAGTAGCTTAGGTATTCAAAACTGCCATATACAAAAACCTTTATGAAAGAGGCAGGAGCTGCCTTTGTATTGGGCAACAGCCACAGCAGAGGTTAGCAAAGCAATTCTGCAATGTGCTTTGTCTGTTACCAGCATCTGGAAGCAGCTAAAAATACCTCAAAGCTTGAGTCACTGATATCCTGCTTTATCACAATTTCCTCTCTCTTCTTGTCTTCCTCAATTTTTCAGCAGGCTGCTCACTCCCACTTGACTTACTCTTCCAGCTCCATTCCTCACCCCCTACAGTCTAGCTTCCACGCTTTGCACTCCACCAAAATGTCCTTGCTAAGTTCATGGACAATCTTCTTGTTGGCAGGCCCAAAGGTCTCTTCTCTCTCTTGCTCTGCTTCCTTTGTTGCCTTTGACACAACTGATCCCTCTCTCAAGTGTGACCCTCTATGCCTTAGACTTCCACCACTCTGACAGCTTTTTTCCCTATGCATCAGCTCATTCATTCAACAATGTTAAAAGCATATTTGTTATCAAATTCTGTTCTTCTTATACAGTAAATATCTGAAATTCTTACCAACATAATCAGTGCAGGGGGGAAGATACGCCTGCTCCAAAAAATATAGCACAGGAAAGAACAACAATTCCAACTAGCCCTTAGGAAATGCAGCCAAGACCTTCAAAGGAGAGGCTTGTTTCAGCTTTACCAGCCATGGAAAGCTTTTCATGGTCTTCTCTTCCTATCCTTTTACCCCACCCATACAAAGTCAACCCTAGACTACAAATAATAAAAAATAAAATATACCAGATTTGTTTAACTCCTAAAAGTGGCCCAGTAGAGGATGAATAGAGCATTCTTCAATTCTTTGCCAGCCTCTCTTATAAGTAGAAAACAGACTAGGAAAAATATAGAGCAAATATAGAAACCTGGTGAAGGAGACATGGAGCAACCTACACCTTTCCTGCCAGCTCTTGGCTTTTATGCTGTACCCACAGGAGGGAACATGGCCCTTATCTAGAGCCAGTGTAGAAATGCAGCGGGCTGGCAGGGGAAGAACAGGGGCATGCAGTGCTCCAGGCGTTTGCTGCAAGCCTGCTTGCTTTGATGCTGGGCAGGGTGAAGGCACAGCATCTTTGTCCACAGCCAGCAGATAAACAAAGAAGGCTGCTGGAGGAGGGGCAGAGAATTCTAGCCTCAGTGGGCATCAAGAAAAGGATAAAAGGCATTATCGCTTATAGCAACCACATAATGGATTTTACTGTAAATTATGTCTCCTTTACCTACAGCTAGGGCCGGCCAGCCCACCCATGAGGCAGCCTGAGGCAGCTGCCTTGGGTGGTGAATTCCTTGGGGCAGCACCCTTGCCCTGCCTGCCCCTGCTGCCCCAGACAGGAGGAGCGAGATCTTGCAACCCCAGTAAAGTGAGGCTTCAGCCAAGGGGCACCAGATCCTTGTCATTTCGCCTCAGGCAGCGAAACAGGACTGGCTGCTGCTGTCTAAAGGAGGGTTGATGATTAGCCCTGCTGTTTTCTGGCACCTCTGAAAAGTTGCAGGGCTAGTATGAAAAGGGACAAGCACAGTGAGGTGAAGGAGGAAGCTAGAAAGAGCATTGCATCATCCTCTCTTCAACTGTATGAACTTTTCAGGGGCAAAAATATGGTAACTACCCTCTTGCACCCCAGGGAGGTCACTTTGGTGCTGCTAAAACAGCCGTTTGGCTTCACCCCTGGAGGCACACTCCATTGTCTCTCAAGAAAGATGGAAGCCAACAACAACTGCAGAACCTACGTTAATTCCTTGAGGAGGGCTTGCCTTTGTGCACATCTCTGCACACTGTCATTAACACCAGTGCCACCATCTCAATAGTTGGAATAAAGTAAAATGGTACAGATCACTTATGAAACAATGACCCTCCGAGGTGATGACTGTGTCTTGGGACAGGTGTATAATCTGATGATCTGACTCACCTGACTCCTTCATTCAGATTGTAGAGCTCGTGTTCTGCAAGACCTTTTCGCTGGAACACAGCTATGACTCCATTATGGATACTGCAAGAAAAAGGCACATTTGTGACAAGCTGCACAGCATTTAACTTAAGATTTCACAGCCTTTAGTTTTTAGGCATTCCTAACAATTACTTCCAAAGCGCAGAAAGTGAGGGGTAACCCACAAACCTGCTGCAAGGAGCATGGTGAAGAAGACAGAACAGATGGAAATCAGGCTGGAGGAAAAGATGGAGAAGTTCTAACTTCTAGTTCTTTTTGATAAAGCATGTAATGGATGGAATACTGGACTAGATCAGGGAAAACTTGGGTTCAAATCCCTGTCCAACAACGACAAAACTGAGTGACGATTTGAAAATCCCTCTGTACAGACATAACCATCAACTATGACTGGGTAAACATTACGAGCTTAAAACTCAGCTAGATTATAGAATAATTGTAGAGTTGGAAGGGACCCTGAGGATCTTCTAGTCCAGGCATAGGCAAACTCAGCCCTCCAGATGTTTTGAGACTATAATTCCCATCATCCCCGACCACTGGTCCTGTTAGTTAGGGATGGTGGGAGTTGTAGTCCCAAAACATCTCAGTGCCGAGTTTGCCTATGCCTGTTCTAGTCCAACCCACCTTGGATCAAACCTGCAACCTTGGGTGTTATCAGCACCACGTTCTAACCAGTTGAGCTATTGTTCTTCTTCTCCATTCAGACTGAAGCTGCTTTAAGGAAAAAATGCTGCATTTCATAATACAGGATAGATATAGATTGAGCTTGCTTGAGGAAGGGCAGGATACATGTGATATTTTATTAATGGTAATATTGCAATATTTGATGAAATATATAAAATAATAATAATAATAATAATAATAATAATAATAATAATAATTTTTATTTATATCCCGCCCTCCCCAGCCAAAGCCAGGCTCAGGGCGGCTAACAACAATCAAATAATCAAACAATCAAATAATCCAACATTCTAAAACATTTCATTATAAAAATTAATTAAAATCAAATTAATGGCAACCATTAAGCAAAGTTCTGTGCAGGTTGCCAGAGGAGGAGTCAGGCTGGGCCCTGACCAAAGGCCTGGTGGAACAACTCTGTCTTGCAGGCCTTGCGGAAAGATGTCAGGTCCCGCAGGGCCCTAGTCTCTTGTGACAGAGCGTTCCACCAGATTGGAGCCGCAGCCGAGAAAGCCCTGGCTCTAGTTGAGGCCATCATGAGATGCAATCATGAGCAGAAGATGCAATCATGAGCAGAAAGCAGTCTTTGGCAGAGCTTTCCCCTTGTTTGCCTCAGACAGACCCAGGGAGACAGCAGGTGAGATGATGATAATGTGAGGGCCCTATTCAAGCCTCTAGCTGCTCTTTGGCAGAGGTGCCAAAGAAGTCTTTCCCTTAATCTCTGCTGGCACAGGAGAAAGGATCTGAGATGCATTGGAGGGAATACAGGATCAAGGGCGAGACAGGAAGCTGGGCTGAACCCCTGGATGGATTGCCAACCCCCTCTCCTATTCTATGCTTAAAGGGGAAATAGACTGCAGAGCGTTTAGTCTGTTATGCTACTGTATTGCCATTCGTATTTTGCACAGTAGAGAAAGCCAGCACTTCAATCAGCACACCTTAAAGGACAAAAAAGAGTTCCTGTGTGTAGAGGAAAGTGGTGGGATTCTTTGCTTCAATAATTGCTGTGTTTGCATGACCTTTTGCCGCGGTCGCAGCAGCTCATCACCAAAACATGCTTCCAGTTTCATGTTGAGCCTCATTGTTGAGCAGCAAGTCCGGCCTCATCATCCCATTTACAGGAAACCGTAGCTGGCAGGCCAGGGCAATGAGGCCACTACCTAACCATGCAGAAATGCATGAACAGATAAAAATAGAAGATATTGCTTGGTTTTTCTCTTCTCTCCCCATTCTTCTTTCAGCTGATAACTGTTTCAAGCTGGTTCAGTAGCTCTTTGTCTGAACTCCTCTCTCAGAGACACACAGAATGGAAACGCTGGTCAGCAGGTTTGGGACAGCATGTAGATACACTCAGCGGACAATTTGAAAGATTTGAGGCTAGATGTCTCCGCAGACAGCAGTACGACTCAGGCGCAATTCAGTTCAGAGAGAAAATGAAATACATTCAGAATATGAAATATACTTTCTGCCACCATCTTGCAAGCATTTGTAATTTTTACTGGAGGTATTCAGATTTGTTTGAAGACAAAAGGGTTTGTTTCCACCAACAAATTATAGTAGGACATCTGGGGTACGCAATTAGCCCAACTAATTATAAGTTACTCCACTGCATTCCATCCTTTGTGCAAAGAAGCCATTTTAGTCTAGGTTGAGAGAGTTCAACTTGCCCAAGGCCTCCTCATCAGCTTCATGAGTAAGACAGGATCTGAAACTGGGTCTTCAATTCTTGAAACTCGCTCAATTCTTTTGCTTTGGATGAATCAACAGGACTACAGCTCTCTTTGTTGTTGTTGCTCATCCTGTCTGTCAGATTTAAATAACAACCTAGGTAACAGAATTCTGCTTCTGAAGCTTATAGGATTATAATTTTCTGATCTGTGATGCTTTGCATTGCATATTCCTGCTCTATAAATGACCCAGTGAAACACTTTCGATTCACTGGCTTTGGGAGAACAAAGTCCTCCTTCCAAGGAGGGATATAATCTGCTCTGGATATGTAATAGTCACAGCCTCATAGAATTGTGGAGTTGGAAGGGACCCCTGAGGGTCATCTAGTCCAACCCCTTGCAATGCAGGAATCTTGTTTAAATCATAGTCCAGTCAAAAGCTGATCTAACTATTTTGCAGGTGACGTGAGACTGCAGGTAGAAGTTAGTATTTTTGAAAGTCCTTCACATCCCAAGCTAAAAATTTGCTGCACACATAAAACTAGTACAAAATGTGGGAGAACATTAAAGTAAAATCGACTTTCTTCTCCAACTTAAAAGGAACTCTTCTGTGTGTTTCTTGCTGAACATAACCCAGCTCAAAATAACAATGCTGGGAGGTTGTGTTGCTTAAATGCCAGGTCAGGTCACAATCCAAAGGTCTTCACAGACAATTCCACGAGAGGAGTGCAGTTTCGAAGTCCCCGTTCAAGAAGCAGCCCCTAAAATTCAGGGATCTTCAGAAGTGATCCCCATGCAGTCTGAAAAGCTCTTCTGGAAGAGAAAAGATCTCGAGACACCCCCACTACTCAGGCACAAATTCTTTGGACCAAGGACATAGGATGAGGGTCTCTGTCACCATTGTACAATTTCAATATCCTTTTCTTATTTCTTCCACCAGCAAAATGTTCCTCATCATAATGTGTGGGTTATGTATTATATTATTATGTACATATAATACATCTTTATGCATTACAAAGATGGTATAATTACTGTAAAGCATGAAACACTGCTCAGGTCCTCCTAACTATTATTACTTAATAAATTAATGGGAGGGGGAACAAAAGAGTCTTGGTGTCATTTGTCCCTCACTTGTTCTAAATTAATCGGGACCTTAAAAGGCTCACAGATCTGGGGAAGTAGTGAGATGCTTCAAGGCAGAAGTTCTTCCTCTCTCTCTCTCTAATGAAAACTCTGATTTCAAGGAACACATTTCAAGGAACCATGGGCCATGCAGGCAGACTCTTCTCAAACTGGCGCAGTCACCAAAATCCCTGTCCTACCACCACACTTCATGAAAACCACGCCATCTACCATACAATACAGGTGTGGTTTGTTTGTGAGCAGTACCTGAGCTGGGGTACCATCCCAAGGCAGCATGGTGAGCAACGGGTGTCACTCAAGTAAACTTTCCTTCTTGAATTACCAGCTTGGCTTTAGTTTTCAGAGCAGAAGGGAATGGAAAATCCCTGCCCCACTCCTCCTAAAGCAGGTCTGCGTCTATCTACAGAACCTACAGGTTTTTCTGCTAAATGGGGATTATACAACTCTGCCTCAAACTGCTGGACATATTTTTAAGGTGATTTTGCGCCCACCCCCTCGCCTGCGCCCCTGGTGGGGGCCCACCGCACCACCCCCTAGCTACGGCCCTGGCTGGATCCTGAGCTAGTCCTGCTACCATTGTGTGATGGAAACAGTCCAAATCCAAGCATGTCCACTGTGCAAGCTTGTGAGCTGGTGTAGCAAATCAGCATTCCCTGCCCTCTCAAGCAGGGTCCAGGGTCTCTGAAAGACGGCATTTCCTCATACAAACCTATCTGAGTTCTGAGACCTTTGGGAGAGACCCTTCTCTCAGTCCCACAACCCTCACAGGCAGGGCCGGCTCTGTGATGAGGCAGTTAATATAATGATGCTGCTGCTTAAGCCCTGTTGCTGCTGGCTCCCAGTTTCAACTGCTTTGTCCCCACCCTTATTTCTGCTCCCTGGGAGACCACTCTCCCTGCATGCGCTGGCTCCCCCCGCTTCCCTCCCTGCAGACAATGTTGGGCAAGTTGAACCAGCTGACTGTGGAAACTCTCATTAGCCACACAGAGCTATCAAAAAGTGAGGGTGACAAATTTGCAAAAAGAGTAAGGGAACAAGAACTCCCAAAAGTAATAGCATTCTTCAGCTTTAATAACTGCCACTTATTCATAATTGATCAGAACTGCGTAAGAGTAAGATACTGCGCAACACTTGACATCTTCTCAAGAAACTATACACTAATTATGGTAATGTGAAGATGCTGAAGTCAGCAAATTAGCCCCCCAGCTCATTTATATGCACAAGACTTGTGATTAACATACTTTGCAAATCTTTCCTGCCGTGGACCCCAGTAAATGACTTGCAACCCAAGATCTAAGCTAGGGGTGCTCTGACGCCCGCACAAACTTAAAATGGCTGCAGCTACGACATGAGGTGTTGATAAGGATTCCTTGCAGTCTCTGCTTACAGTTTTTCATCAAGTAGGACTCAGTCTGCTACTATCTGCATAGTCCCCATTCTTACGGACACTAAAATGTGAAGGAATGGAGGGAACTGCCTTTCTATGCAATATATGCACACACAAAAGATGAACATCTCACATAAAAGTAATGTTGCATAGCTTTCTTGTGCTTTGAGGGAAAGAACTGACAGAAAAACTATTTTGATTTCACTTCTGCTGATCCAGGCCTGGTTTCTTTTGAATGGGTCGTGTCCTTTGCTCCTATGGTATGTTTCTTTGTTTAGGGAAGCTTTTAATGTTTAACAGACCACTGCATTTTAATACAGTGGTACATTGGGTTACAGACGCTTCAGGTTACAGACTCCGCTAACCCAGAAACAGTACCTCGGGTTAAGAACTTTGCTTCAGGATGAGAACAGAAATCATGCTCTGGCGGCGCAGCAGCAGCGGGAGACCCCATTAGCTAAACTGGTGCTTCAGGTTAAGAACAGTTTCAGGTTAAGAACGGACCTCCAGAACGAATTAAGTTCTTTACCCGAGGTACCACTGTACTTTGTTGGAAGCTACCCAGAGTGGCTGGGGTATGTATGTATAAATAAATAAATAAATAAATATTATTATTATTATTTTGCTGTCTTCTCATTTCTTTTAACCTTTTACAGTGGATTATTCTGTTTCCCTGAACTGTAAAGAAATAACCAAACTAAGGGTGTCTTTCTCTATAAGGACCTGGAGTTTGGATCCCATGAATACATAAGATAGCGGAGCTTTTTAAACCGAGGTACCCAGTTAAGGAATATCCATTTAAAACTAGCTTTGCAGACGTCTGATTTTACAAGATTATTTCATATACTTCTTTAGAATCCATGAAATGCAGGATATCATATATAAACAAATGCTGTAAGTAACATGGTCGTACTTGGTACGTTGCTGTCTATTGTTTTGCGGAAAGGGAGGAAACTGGTTTTCTGGGACTGGGGGAAGAGGCTAGAGGTTCCAGCCATAATCCTGCTCTCCTAACGTCCAACAACAAGCCCTTGTCCCAGTCAACTCACAACAGAAGCAGGGAAAGAGCAACGTGTTGTTTGTGACAGGGAAATCCAGGACTCTGTCATAGAGAACTTGGGGAACTGGGTGAAGGTTTGATGCATCACTGAAGAGTCTCAGTGGCAAGGAGGTTGAGTGGTTAGACCAGGTACCTGTGGCAGCTCCTTCCCTCAGATCGTGTTCTTCACATGCAGTTCAGCAGTGAGGGCGGATTTTGGCCTACATGATGTGTAAAATGTCTACTTACTTGCACTGCTGATCAATTTCACCATTTTAAGACACTTGTCTTTTTCAGGTTTATATTCCCCTTCTTTCTACATCATTGTCTCTTCCTTCCCCCCAACCTCCAACACTACCAGTTAATCCTACAAGCAGCCACTGTTTTCTAAGGGGCACAAAAAAGGAAAACAAACAAATATCCTATCCTTTTGGTCTTAGAAATTAGGCCAAAGATCAGAAAGCCTGGAATTCATTTTTGCTATTATTATCTGTTCTGTTTTCAGCACTCTAGAGCTTATTCCAGTCCTGCCCCACTTCAACGAGCAGCTAAAGACTTCACAAAGAAAGTAAAGAATCGAAGTTATTTTAATCCTATGCAAATTTTGAGTGATTAAATGAAACTGGTAGGTAATGTAATTTATGCTTATGTTTGCTGTTAGGTTGGTTTGCTTGTGTAGGCTGTGAAGCAGGCAATGTAAGCTGTTTTGAGGATTCATGGGAAAGCTGAAGAGGCCATGAAATTATAAAGTATAAATTTGCACAGCAGAAACCAGGCAGAAGGCTTGCTTTGATCTGACAGTTTCACATTAGCTTTGGAATCAAAGGGAAATCCCTGCAGAGAATGAAAGCATGCTAGGAATTCCAAAAGCTGAGACCAATTGTGAATCTTAGGCAGGCCTGGGGAAGGGACAGGTGCCAAAGCAGCTGCCAATCACCTGATGTCAATCTTGTCACAACTAGAAGTGGTGTGAAGTCAAGCCACAGCTTCGGAGAACTCAAGAGTGTGAAGGAAGATGTCAGGTGAGGGCTCTGAGTTGGAAACTGCCTGGTGAGCCTGATCAGTGTCTGGGTGGAAGGCTCTTCATCATTGCATTTAATGCATTTATTTTATCAAATTTATATGCCACTTCACTGTAAAAAACCAAACAAACCTCCAAGTGATCTTTGCATCAAAATCCCCCGATTTCTGAACCAGGTCTGCCAAAAATTCTCATTCTGGTCCTTGATCTGCCAAAGCTTGTCCTTGCCTACGGACCAGGAATTTTCAGTCACAAGCTCACATCCTTAATTGCAGCCAAGAGTCCAACTTTTTTTAAAGATTATTGAAAAGAAGTGGAGAGATGAAGCACTTGCAGAACACCATTGACGGTCAACAGGATTTTTTTAAAATTCTAAATGATTTGGGGAACTTTTCAATTTCAATTTTGGGTCATTTGCAGTTCTGAAAATCGATATATTTTAAGTGGATCGTCTTGTTGATGTATTGCAATTTATAATGAAATAGCCACTGGCCATAAACAATAGAAGTCTGACTGACTGAAGCAGCTGCAGCTGCTCTCCATTTTATCCTTACGTTCTTTTCTCCCCATAGGGTGGCTGGATTCAAAGAATCATAGAATCATAGAGTTGGAAGAGACCACAAGGGCCATCGAGTCCAACCCCCTGCCAAGCAGGAAACACCACCAGAGCACTCCTGACATATGGTTGTCAAGCCTCTGCTTAAAGACCTCCAAAGAAGGAGACTCCACCACACTCCTTGGCGGAAGAAGAAGACGGAAGTTGATCAGAAGACACCAAAAGCCGTTGAAATTTGCTCTTCCATTTAACAATACAGGTGCAGGAGCCCTGTGTGATTTTACAACTGACCACCCAATGGCTACAGGGTGATAGGACAAGTAAAAGAAAAAAGTGGATTCCATAGACTATAATGCACTGTAACTTTCTGAGAAGACTGCCCGAAAGACAGACATATTGATGTCTTCTTGCTGAAAAGCTTTTAGTGTGCTTGTATTTTCTGTCACGTAACTTTTAAAATCAAAAGTTAGTATCTGAAGTTGGTATCTGAAGAAGTACGCATGCACACAAAAGCTTATACCCAGAACAAATGTAGTTGGTCTCTAAGGTGCTACTGGACAATTGTTTAATTTATTTTAAAATCAAAGTTTGCTTTCAATTGGAACCTCGGTTTGTCCAGAGAGACTATCTTATGGCTTCTAGGAATACTACTGAATAGAGATGGTAAAATGAATAGTTGACAAACTGGGACATTTCCTAGGAAACCACTCTACTGCTTGTTAGGAAAAGTATCTCTCTCAAGTTTTGAACTGGATTTTATGTACAGATAATCTAGTCAGTATAATAAATATATTTATTAGGTCTGCAATATTGAGTTAAACATTTTAAAAAGTCCCCTGGATTAATCAGGCGACAATCTGGTTTTTTGTTGTTGTTGTTTTGTTTTTACAAAATGACTTTTTATAGCAGATGTACACAAATTTTGAGAGGCACTTTAAGGAGTGGCATTGCCTCTTCTCTGCTGTACAAGACAGAATGTCTCTTCTAAGACGGTGCTTGCTGTGGCCTGGGTGTGCATTGGGTAAAAACAAAGTATGTTTCTCCCCTTCCTCAAAACTCATATGCACACACATTTTATTAATTTAAGCCATTTTTTCTGTAACAAACAGCATGCTATTTTTTGCTGCAACAACAGGCTATCATAGCACCTGGGCACATATATGCCCAATATTCGCCTGGATGCATATTAAGTGAGCAAAGGTCTTGCATCTCACAAGTCAGTGTCACTTCAGGTGGCTAATCGAAACAGCTAAGTAGTGACATATGCCAGGGGGCATTAGAGCAGCTTACCTACAAGGCAAGAGAAAAAATAGACCCCGAGTCCAAATAAGGAAAGGCTGGCCACTGAGGTCACAAGACATTACCATGGTGTTTGTGTGTGATTAAGGAGTTTGTCAAGGTGGATTCACAGACTAGGGAACAGCAAGCAGTAGCTCCAGGGCCAAATCAAGTCCGCTATCAGTAATGCTATTTTCTTGCCCCCTTAATACTCTATGCCTACCCCTGACCTGTTATGCTCCATCTCATCCTTAAAGTGGCCCACCAATGAGAGGCTCAGAGTAAAGGAAAGCAGAGCGAGTATGTTAATTTCAGCCACTGGTTCTTGCTAACCTCTGCAGGGCTGAAGGACCAGACAGCTCTGCAAGGGTGTCTAGTTGATTGGGTTGGTGCACAAACTGATGCCCTGGTTGACCTCCAGAAACCAGAGATGACCCAGACAACCAACACAATCACTTCTTATTCTCAGATCTGCTAAGACAATGAAATGGTTGGGTTGATGATTAGGACTTAGATGGTGGCAAACTCTTAAAAAAGTATTAACAGCGGCTAGAAACAGGTGGGCAGATTCTTCCTGGACCCTGGTGATTTCACCAGCTATCACTGAGTTGCAAATCTCCTTTTCTTGGTTCAAAGTGTGTAGATGTGAGGCTCCCGGTATCCTGAATGACGCTCATTTTCTGGAGCCATTTTTATCTGCCTTCTTCTAGGCAGATTGGGAACTGAAGTGGCTTTGGTCAGCCACTGGTCAAACTGTAATAGGAGAGTGACAGAAGGCACGTGTCCATTCCCTGACACCTCACATCAGCATATCATCAGCCACAATATTTTTCAGAAATGCCTGTCTGGTTTGGGTACACTGCTTTACACTTATTCCTACCTGATGATCATTTGCAGAATGTTGGGCTGGGTGGCTGCAGTTTGGCACCGGGGCAGCTATGCTACAGTGCTCCACAGGCTACCTATCAATTATATGAAACCACTGAAAGAAGTAATCAGAGGAGCTGGAGGTAGATTTCATTATGGAGATAACACCCATCTCTCTCTCTCTCTCTCTCTCTCTCTCTCTCTCTCTTACATGTGGTCCAGATGTAATCATGGATACTCTGTGCAGATGCCTAGAGTTAGTAACAGGCTAGATGAGAGCTAAGAAACTGAAGTTCAATCCCAAAACAGATTTGCTGCTAATATTATCAATCTAGGAAAGTTGTATTCAGCCTATTCCTTATGGGGACCACCCCCTCTTAAAGACTAGGCGTATTAACAACTACCAGTACTGCCCCGTCACAAATCCCCCCCCCCTTTTGGGCAAGGTACTTGAAAAGGTCATGGTGACACAGCTGCAGGCTTAAAGGGGAGTGAAGGGATAGTGTAGATGTGACCCTGTGACTCTAAATAAATCTGTCACTGGCTTTTGATACAATCGATTATGATATCCTTCTAGGTTGTCTATGGAAGATGGGATTTGGGTGGCACTGTTATACAGAGCTTCCTATCTTATCTCCAGGGATGGTTATGGCACTGGCTGAGTGCTTCTCAGTCCCCTGGGATACTACAAGGTGCTACGCCGTCTCCAATGCTACTGAACACTACATGAAGCTGCTAGGAGAGGTCACTAAGAGATCTGGCACGAGGTGGCATCAGTACACCAATGAGTACACCAACACCTACACTGTTTCTCTGAAACATCTGAATTGGGGATGGATGAGAAGATGACTGGATGCAGCAGTGGGCATGAAAAAAAATGTGTGTGAATCCTGGCAAGATGGAGGCTTTGCAGATGTTTCCTGGCTCTGAAAATTTGGTAAGTCGCTTGCCTTGGATGGGGTCACACTCTCCCTGAAGGAGCAGGTGTGTAATCTGAGGGCACTCCTGGATCCACCCATCCCTGGATGCACAGGTGTCTGTGATGGCTAGGAGTGCCTTTTACCAACTGTTCCTGGATTGGGACAGCTTGGCCACGGTTGTCCATGCACTGGTAGTGCCAAGTTGGACCACTGCCATGTGCTCTATGTGGGGCTGCCCTTCAGGTTGGTGAAGAGACTAGATGGTGCAGAATGCAGTGGCCAGGTTGCTTGTGGGAACCTGCATGTAACATCTTGCTTCTGGGAGTTCCACTGGTTGGCAACTTAAGAATGAGAGCATGTGGCCTGTCTAGCCAAGCAGGACCTGAACGCAACAGCCCTCTCCCCTCCTAAGGTTTCCAGCTGCTGGTATTCAGAAGCGTATAGTTTCTGACCATGGAAGCAGAGTAGAGCCATCGGAGTGGGCAGCCACTAATTGTCTTCTCTGCTACCAGACTACCAGAATAAAGGTGCTGGTACTAACATATAAGGCCCAGTACAGCTCAGGATCAAGTTAATTTAGAGATTGTGTTATCCATTATTTATCCAGCAGGTCACTGCAGTCTGCAGAAGAGCTGCTCCTACAAGTTCCAAAAGATCAGAAGCCCACTCCATGGCAACTCAAAACAGGGCTTTCGGCATGGCTACCTGTTCTGTGGAACAGCATTCCTGTCGAGATTCGACAAGTGACCACTGCTTGCACTTTCTAGAAACGGTTTAATACATTTTTTTTATGGTGTGGTTTGCCACCTGGATGAATGGGTCTCTGCCATCGCTGTCTATTTTTTTTAAAAAAAAAATCTGCTGATTTTTATTGTGCATGGCCTTGAGAGACTTGCGTAAAGAGGATGAGTAAATTCATGCTCCTCCTCCTCCTCCAGGCTCAATTAAAGGTGCTGTTTTTGGCCTTCAAAATCCTAAACATCCTGGGATTTGGGTTCCCAAGGGACTGCATTATTCCACACAAGCCTGTCCCCCCAACCATTGGAGGCCCTTCGCCCCTGCATTCAGCGCCCAGGAGAGTGGCTCAAAAAGAGAAGGTCTTTTCAGGGTGGGGGGGGGGTCGGAGAGAAACAATTTAGAGCTCCTCCTTCCTTTCCCAGACCACCACTTCTCTGCTTTCAACTGAATGCCACCCCCACCACAGTGTTTCTAGTCAAAAATATTTTAAAAAGTCTTTTGAGGTTTCATTTCACACACGTGCATATAACATTTAGTAAGGCCCGGATTGAGATTATAGTCGTAACTTGGTCTGCTTCTCCCTTTTTTCTTCTTCAAATGCCAACATCAATAATGGTTAAACCTTAGTGATAACATAGGGAACTCTGGCATTTTTTATTTGTATTTTTTAAAAAATGGCAGAGATTCCTTCAGTAAATCTCTCTCCCCGTGATTTATTTCTAGCTACAAATATATTTAACAACCCACTTCAAGTGTTTCTCTCTCCCCCCCCCCATCACCAAAACACATGCAGTTTTTCCTGTTCCATAAACAAACCACCCTCCCCTGGGAAAGGAGAAACTACACCTACTTTCTCAACAAGCAAAGCAACCAGGAGACATAATAGCCAGCAAAAGAAAAAGGGTTCCCTAGATCTTAACAGTCATTGCCAGTGAGAATGAAATGAGAGAAAACTGTGTATGACAGCTCTAACAGAAGGGCTAGAAGCATGAAAAACCTGGAAGTTTCCTCTCATATGAAAATCAGACTTCAAACTGTGTTGTGCCTTGTTGCTGCGTGTGTGCACAGCACATGCTCTTTAAAATCTGAGCCAGAAGTGATTGTTTGCAGTGTTGGCTGCGTTGGCTATTGTGGAATAAATTCCTGGTGCCTGCCTGTGTGCGTGGGGGATATGCAAGACCGTACCTGTTCCAGGTGGCGTTGGAGCAGGCCCGTCGCTGCTGGGTCCCCCGCTCATCCAAGGATGCCGGCTCTCTCTTGCCCAGATCACTGAGGCTGGGCGAACTCATGAACTTCAACCTGCGAAGAGTCCTCATGGTCAAATGTGTTGTTTTGTGCGTGGCAGCTAGAGAAACACCATCCTTTTTACAACACACACACACGCAGCTGGAGCAGCAGCTTCTCCGTTTGCTGTTCAAAAATGAAACTTAAAAAAACAAAACAAAAAACAAAGAAGAGAGAACCAGTCTCTACAGAACACACCTCTGCCAGCAAGAAAACAAACCTTTAATCAGATCAACTCTGACGTCATAAATTGTGGTTAATAATTTCTCCAGGCTTTTTTTTTTTTTTTAAAGCTGAACTCCTCATTGCTGTCCTTTACATATTAAGGGGCCCTTTAAACCGGAAGGTTGTGCAAAACTTTTTCTCATCCCCATTGTAAAAAAAAACTGAGAATCTCATTCCGCATGCATGTTCCACCTGCCATAGTAAAAGCTTCACTAAATTCTCAAGAGGTTCCCCCCCCCCTTCTCTTGTAACCGGAGCCAATAAGGGAGGGGGAAGCAACCCACTAAGGGTGACGTATGGAGATTTCGTAACCACCGATTCTTTGCCACATTACAACACACAAACTCTCTCTCTCTCTCTCTCTCTCTCTCTGTGTGTGTGTGTGTGTGTGTGTCTTTCACCAGGGCAAATTACAAATCTGCTTGTCTAAGAGGTTGCTTAAGCTGAAAGCACAAGATAAGCCTCCTGGTCAAAACAGGAGGTCTCTTTAAGGAGATGTGGGTGCTTTTGGAAAAGCATTTCAAAGATGTCCTGCAGCGCTGGTTGCTGGGGGCGCTTCCACCTCATAACAGCTTCAAAGGCGAAGTTTTACAATGGGGCGGGGGGGGGCATATTTGGTCTCTAAAACACCACAACCTGGAGAAACAGACAGAGATGACTCAGCTTGAAATTTTAAAAAGTGGGAGGAGCTCAGCAGCATATATGACAGAGCCAAGCCGTTTGCAGTTGAAATAGCCTAACAAGAGCTTCTGCTCTTTTTCTAAGGCAGGGGTCAGCAACCTTTTGCAGTCGTGGGCTGGTCCACTGTCCCTCAGACCATGTGGGGGGCCAGACTATATTTTTTTGGGGGGGAGGGGGGAATGAACGAATTCCTATGCCCCACAAATAACCCAGAGATGCATTTTCAATAAAAGGACACATTCTACTCCTGTAAAAACACGCTGATTCCCGGACCGTCCGCGGGCCAGATTTAGAAGGCGATTGGGCCGCATCCGGCCCCCGGGCCTTAGGTTGCCTAGCCCTGCTCTAAGGCAGGCCGTGTATCCACCCAAAGCGGGAATTTAAGTATCCTGGCATCCTGAGATTTTCCATTCTCTTGTAAAAATATTCTACAACTATCTAGGTACACTGAAGAGAGCCTATAGGCAGTTATCTGGTCACAATACTCCCCTAACCCCAAATCACAAAAGAAATGCACAGTATTAGGGGCCCCTCTGCCCCCAAACCACTCACGTTGAACAGATCTCTTGCAAGAACAGTTTATTTTGGTAGGTAAGTGCCAAAAACATCTGCACCTGCCTCTCAGCCCGGATTTGCATGTTACAGTTTAACAAACACATCATATGTCAACCATGTGCTTTTGCGGTAAACTCCAGTTATCTAATCTACTCAATTTACTATGCAGTGTCTAATGCTTACAATAATGATATTAATCACTATGAACAAACACCCCATAACATGTAAAGAAGCTACTGGGATTTATTTTTTAAAAAACAAAACCATAATTTATAATCTAGAAACAAATGCAAACAACTGAACGAACCCAAAGGAGAGCCCATAATAAGTGAGGTTGTTAGGGGAGGCTAACCTGTGCCTTTGGAAGATGCAGGAGGGGGAGAAGGAAGATAACGTACAGGGATTCTAAGTTTCATGTTCAAACCTCTCCACCCCAAGATGGACTTCACTAAACATGATTTTGAGTGGGCACATTGAGCACTACCTGCCAGGCCAAAGAATGTGCTCCCCAAACCCTGCGCCATTACATGTTTTGTGAGATTCACAAAAATGGATTGAGATTCCTGCACTGCAGGAGGTGGACTCGATGATCCTTGGGGGTCCCTTCTAACTACATGATTCTATGAAATTCTAGGATTCCATAAAAGGAGGAGATCTGGTGGTGGCCTTGCTCATTAAGGAAAATTACATATAACGTACAACAGTGATGGTGTTCCCAGAAACTCTTGAGAAAGTGCAATACGTTTAGGAGGAAAGGATCTACTATAGATGGGGCTTCCCGTTTTAGCTATGGTTGGCAAATAGACAAAGGATGTATTTTCTGCTGTTTGGATTGAGTTTATTAAATGCACTAATCAAAGTCACAACACCAGATCGTATCTGTCTATGATCATATGCGGCTGAGAGAGAACAAATGACATGTGACCAATGGGCTCAAAGAAAGCATAAATACCCCTGGAGACTAACAATAAAACGCTTCAGTAAAAAACAAACAAAAACAAAGAACAATTTTGCAAACTCCAGTACAATAAAGAACAGTAACAAAGCAAGCAGTGACTGGTCTCTCATGCGTCATTATTCCAGTATTTGACTGGAAAGAAGTGGTATCCATTGAAATCAGGTTAGCGATAATACAGCCCCTCCTAAACCCAGCGTGGGTAGTTGAGAGGCGATGAACTCTCAAGAAGTATTTATGAAAGTTAGAAACGGAAACCACACCATGTCAAATATAGCCTGGCTCCTTGCTTTCCACATATCACGTGCTAATATTTCCATGAGAGCAAGACACAAAACATGCTTAAACCAACTTGCAACTAAAAAAAAATCAGAGGACATTTCCCAGCCTCTACCTTTTGCTAATCTGCCTACAACCCCTAGTGGTGCAGCAACAAAACTGCTAGCACATTTGCAAAGCTAAGCAGGCTCTGCTAAGTTTCAAATTAGATGAGGGACCGTGTGTTGAGATCTCAGAGTCCTGAAAGTTCCCAGGGGTTCCAGGCACTTACCCTGAGTTTGCTTTCCTTGGATTGAGTTTGCTGTATGATAAACAGTGGTACCTCGGGTTAAGTATTTAATTCATTCCTGAGGTCCGTTCTTAACCTGAAACTGTTCTTAACCTGAAGCACCACTTTAGCTAATGGGGCCTCCTGCTGCTGCTGCGGCACGATTTGTTCTCATCCTGAAGCAAAGTTCTTAACCCGAGATACTATTTCTGGGTTAGCGGAGTCTGTAACCTGAAGCATATGTAACCTGAGGTACCACTGTATGGGTTATGTGAGTTAATGATATATGGTTTATTTATTCATATATACCATCTAGCTTGGGATGCGGGTGGCGCTGTGGGTTAAACCACAGAGCCTACGACTTGCCGATTGTCTCCCCGCGACAGGGTGAGCTCCCGTTGCTCGGTCCCTGCTCCTGCCCACCAAGCAGTTCAAAAGCACGTCAAAGTGCAAGTAGATAAATACCGGTAGGTACCGCTCCGGCGGGAAGGTAAACGGCATTTCCGTGCGCTGCTCTGGTTTGCCAGAAGCGGCTTAGTCATGCTGGCCACATGACCCGGAAGCTGTACGCCGGCTCCCTCGGCCAATAAAGCGAGATGAGCACCGCAACCCCAGAGTCGGCCACGACTGGACCTAATGGTCAGGGGTCCCTTTACCTTTACCATCTAGCTTATTTACTCATCTAGACCACCTGAGTCTACAATTGAGGGGCTCACATAATACCCCAAGAGGGTCTTGATTCTCCCACAGCCACAGCCTTGGATCCCAGCAAGAATCAGGCATGACTCTGTTTCCCAGCTTACAGCCTACAGCCTGCAGTTCTGCCCAGCCTGCTTCTAGCTTCACACACAACCCTGCTCTTGTTTTTCTAACTAGCGGACAGTTATTCTCTGGTACAGAGCCACTTCCTTTGTTACCTTAATGACCCACACTTTGAAGGCCCTTATGGTCCTTGCCTGGCTAATTCAGCAATTGAATCCCTGCTGGATCCAGGAACGGGGAAGGGATCCAGGCAAACAGCCTACCCCCACCCCCAAATTTACAACACCAAGTTCTTTATGGACGAGGTTGGGGCAAGTGAAAATATAGAAAGGAGAGCTAAAGGGGCTGCTTTTGGGACCACCTGGTTAGTTAATTTAGAAAAAATATCTCAGAATTGCGCCAGATGCTATTGAATATGACTGTTGGTGATTTCCAAGGTCTGCAGAGTGAGAGACAGATCTGGGAGAAACGTTTTCTGATTCAACCTGAGAAAGGAACTCTTTGGGACTGTGTACCATACAAAGCAATCTCAGCATCACTGAAGCCTCTCTGAAACTAATTTGCTGTTGGTACTTCACTCTGGCAGAATTTAGTCATGCTAACCCATCCCTATCGCCTGCATGCTTAGAGGAACACGAATAAAATGAATCTGGATCTTCGAAAGATAACGGGTGCTGTGGGTAGATGGTTCCTATGCCTGTTCTGGACAGAGCTATACTCCCTCTAAAGGAGCAGTGACATATCTTGGTGGTAGTCCTGGATTCATCCTTGTCTGCCATTGCATTCAGGCATGGCTCCAGGCCACTTCCAATGCAGATCATCAGCTGCAGGTCATCAGAGTAACTGGGTCCTTCTGGACAGAAAGAAGAACAAGAGACATTCCAGTTCAACTTGAGGTTTGCTTGAGGAGGACACACTTCCTGGGCTCTAAAGACATGGAGGTGGGGGTGGGGGTGGCAGTGCTCACGTGACCCCCAGTGCCCTTCCATGACATCAATAAGCAGTGAGGGGCTTAAGGAGGTGAATCCACACCTTCCCCTCATTTTCTGTTTTTCTTCTCCAACTGATGCAACACCCCAAGGCTCCTGGAGGCAGCTGAGCATGCTCAGTTCTTCCTGGGTTCTTTGGGGGGGGTGCCCCACTTTGGTTTGTCAACGTTTGGTGTTTCTGCATACCTCAGGCCCTAATCGGTCATCCTCCTGCATCTTTCTCCTGCACACTGGGCGTCTTCAAAATTCCACTTCACAGGGAGGGAAATGTGCATGCTTGGCTCTCACTGAGCTTTCAGTTTTTTTCTTTATCGTTTTCTGCCAAGTATGCAGAAATCCCTGCCTAGTCTGGTCCCGTTTCACTGCCTTGATGACAGGTACAGGACCACCAAGTTTGCTATTAGAAGGGATGGTGATAAGGAAGAAGATGATTTAACACTTCAGAAACTCTGTCCAATGTGCAGATACTTTTAAACTGATGTATAAGATCAGGGAAAGTTCATCTAATAACAACTGATAATGAAACAGTTGAAACTCCCTGCTCATCTCTGTGCTGTGTAAATTGTTCCTTAGCTTGCCTACCTTGCAGAATGTTAATTGGCTCTCTGAACAGGGCGACCTTGAAGCATCAGCCGGAGAACCACAGAACTGTCTCCTGTGCTTATATATGGTGTGGGGCCTGCCATTGCCTGGGAAACCAGAGCTGTGGGTTGTTCAGAACTTTGCTTTCTCACAGCCCTATTTCACAACTCAAGATTCTTCCTCTTAACTGTCTTGATCTTAAAAACCACACACACAAGTACCCACACGGCAAGATAAAGATAGGCCATGAAAACGGCCTGCCAGAAGGGGATGGAGCCAGCCCTTTGGGAGGGAGAATAAGGAGCCGTTTCAGAGAGAGGATTCTGATGGGGAGATGGTTTAAGAGAGAGCAGGAGGGAGAGAAAGAGAGTTGGTCCTGGTCTGCGTGTGTAACATCCGCCCTGGGAAAAATATCTACAGCTAGAGAAAGGAGTCTCTGAGCTTAGATAGGAAGACGGTGTTGAGTGTCTTGGGAGAGCATTCAGACAGGAGTTAACTGGAGGGCTGAGTTGGAGCCAGGAGAAGGAGAAGCTGTGAGGATACCATCTCCTTGGGTCTCCTTCCAGTCAGGAGGGGAGAGATCATCCAGAAAGAGAAGACTCCCAGACCAGGAAAAAAGGGGTGCATGGGGATCCCCTGGGTCTGTTAGACTGCCAGAGGTATCTCAGGAGTATGGGAAAGGAGTATCTCAAAGGCTGGGAAACGGACAGAAAGTACCACCTCCGTGTTTAAGAACCAAAGTATTAAGCTGTAACACCTACACAACAACTAAGTTTAGGAACTGAAGTGAAAGAAGTGGAAATAAACTTTTGTCTAGAAACCTGTAACATCTAACTGAGGAGTAATAACTGAATTAAAGCAGCTGACATTTAAAAGAAGCTGTGCATTTATTACCTTCTTTAGAAGCCTGTATCATCCACCTGATTAAGTATAATTATTAATAAGTTAACTGTTTCCTGAAAGACCTTTTATCTCCTGACACATCCTTTGTTTTATCAACTTCGTTCTGTAAACTAAATCTTTCTTTATTGGTTCAGCTCCTGCCTGAGTCTTCAAGGATCTAAGTTTACCCTCACAGAAAAACCAAGATATACCTTGTGGTCGTTATACAGGGTCTACAAAGAGGGGATCTGCCTCCCTACCTCCCTTAGGGAGAGAGGAGGAAAGGGGAATCGGCGAGAGCTGCCTCTTCCCTCTCCACGCTTTTCTGCTGGTTGGAGGGTCAGGGCATGGTCCCAATTGTGGCAGCAAACAGGACCTCAACCACTAATATTACATTTACATTTCACGTTTGCAAGCCTGTTTGCAGAATACAGTGGTGCCTCGCAAGACGAAAAGAATCCGTTCCGCAAGTCTCTTCGTCTTGCGGTTTTTTCGTCTTGCGAAGCAAGCACATTAGCGGTTTAGCGGATTAGCGCTATTAGCGGCTTAGCGGATCAGCTGATAAGCGGCTTAGCGGATCAGCTGATAAGCGGCTTAGCGATCAGCTGTTAAGCGGCTTAGCGGATCAGCTGATAAGCGGCTTAGCGGCTTGGGAAAAAGGGGAAAAAAACCCCGCAGGAACTCGCAAGACATTTTCGTCTTGCGAAGCAAGCCCATAGGAAATTCGTTTTGCGAAGCACCTCCAAAACGGAAAACCCTTTCGTCTAGCGGGTTTTCCGTCTTGCGAGGCATTCGTCTTGCGGGGCACCACTGTATGGGATGATGGTAAAAAGCAGCCACGCCTGAAGTCTCCTTTTTATCCTTTGAGCTTCCTGTTCTCTCGCTTTCAGCAACCTCCTATGCAAGACCTCAGCTGCTATGTGGTCTTCAGCGCATGAAGGAAATGTAACCCTAACACCTACACACACTTGAAAAGGACACGCCATTCTTGGCACATCCTGTCCTTTTGCTTCCAGGAAAAATGGCTCCTTATTTTGTTTTCAAGTATGAGCAATCTGGACTGCATGTACACTTATGGCTTTAAAGGAAGATGAGAGCAGTTCTTAGAGGAGAGGGCTAAGGCTGGCTACCAGCTGTGATGGCTCTGCTCTGCCTCCATAGTTTGAGGCAGCCATGTTTCTGAATCCCCGTGGCTGGAAACCACAAGTGCTGCTCTTGTGCTCAGATCCTGCCTGCTGGTCTGGTCAGCCACCGTGAGCACAGGATGCTGGACTAGGTGGGCCGTGGGCCTGATCCAGCAGGCTCTTGTGTTCTTATGCTAATGATCTCCAGATATCAGGTTTAGGGTTTTCTTGTGGAAATGCCTCCCTCTACTGGAAGGATGCCTTTGAAGCAACTGAGACCCACTGAAAAACCCATACCTTTCAACATGAGAAATGATATACACTTGAATTGTTATAGGCTCTCAGCACCGAGAAAATGAAGAGTACATTTTAATGTACGGTATCTCGAGCGTATACTGAGTGTGTGAGTCTTCTGGGCCAGATTCAACTAATGTGATGTGTCAGCAGAAGGCAGTGCAAGGACTCCCGCTAGGGCAGAATGAGACCCTGTCATCATAGAACACCTCTACTCAAGAGATCTGAACTGGATGCCCATTTGATAACAGGCCAAGTCGAAGGCGTATATAAAGCAACCAGTTTACCTGAGGGATTGCCTTACCTCAGACATGCCCACTTGACCACTTTAACAGAAACATGGAATCACAGAGTTGAGCTCCACTGGTCATCTAGCCCAAGCCCCAGCAATGCAAAAACTGGCACACCTACGGTGCCACATAATATTCATTCCATGCTTGTAGGAAGTCAATATTTTAATGTAGCAGCATCTGCACTTCGGAACTTACTGCTTATTGACATCAGGCAGGAACCTCCTATGCGCTGGTTCCGCCCATACTGGTCACAGACATCGCTTCTGAGCATGCCCATGCAGTCATATGGAGTTTACATGTTTTATTTTGTGCTAGCTACTGTTGATTTTAATCACCTTTTGAATATTTTAAATATCTGCTTTCATCAATAATTTTTTTTTCATATTAAGCAGTATAAATTTTGGACACCCACCCACTTTATATGTAAATTTATAGGCCTCTTAACCCGCCATATGACCCTCAAAGAAGCTTAAAATAAAAGCAACCATAAACACAATTTTGTTGCAGCAGTATCACAGAAAAAGAGCTACGGTTTAGAAAATAAAACCCACTACTGAGAATGCAGAAACCCGCGAATTGAGCGGATGAGACAAATGTTGGTCGAAGGGTAAAGAGGGCGCTTTCTGCATGTGCTCTAGAGGGAAGTGAGGGGCAGATGGGGGTCATCCACCTGGGGAGGTGGCCCATCTAGGAGAAGGAAAACTCATCCTAAACCTCTGCTACCTTGTGGCCATACTCATTCATGAGAGAAAGGCTTCAGGAGTAAACCCCAAGAGGAAATCCGCACCCGCTGCCTTGTGGGACATCTTTGGGAGAAGAAAAGGCTAAGGAGTAAGCCCGACACAACTCCTGCCACCAAACTGGTGCCAAAGGCCTTGCTTTGCTTTCCTTTGAACCATGTCAGCAAGGCCAAGTGTGTATGTGGGGGGGGGGGGGTGTCTTGTCATCTGGGCAGCCCAGGACCTCCAGACACACTGCCCAGGCTTGTCACTTTGGTGCTGCAAACAGTGATTCAACTTCATCCCTGGAGGCACACTCCATTGTTTCCTGAGACGGACAGATGCTAACAACGTCAGGACAGGACACCCAGTCTGGCCTTCCACCTTATGTCTCTTCTCCCCTCCCTCATGGCTCCCTGCCCCCATCCCAGTGCACAGGCTTCTCCCACAACACCCTCACTTTCTCCCCCTCCCCAGGCTGCCAAATGTCTGGCTGAAGCGCAGCAAGAGTGTTTGCAACTCCTCTGCTTCCCAGAGCCACACTCCAAAGGTCTCCCATTTCTCTTGCTCCTAAGCCTAGTGAAACATTAACAAATGCAATGCTTCCTGTTGTGGAAGCCAGAAAGGGGGGGGGGGATCTGATAGGCTGGCAAGCAATCCCAGTAACTCCCCACCCCCTCTGCAGATGGCAAAAAGGAAGCCCCTCAGCCCGCAGAGAAGTGCAGGAAGAGAGAGAGAAGTCTCACATCGCCTAGGTAACCAGGCAACTCTCTATCTTTCTGCGCTGTGTTGCAGCAAAGTATGGGGTGGAGGGGGAGAAGCAAAACAGCATTGACGTGCATATGCCACATCAGTTGTGGAAAGCATGCATGTGTAAATTGGTGCCCTTCTTTTTAAAACACACAAAAGAGACCGAGAACTGGGGTTCTCGCTTGTGTGTATCTAAGAAGGGAAAATAGCAAACTGTATGCATGTATTTTTTAGAGGACAACCATTTCAGTATTATCCAGAGCACAGGGTCTGTGTCCCTTGAAAGCCCCGTCTCCCATTGTCCATACCCTGCAAGAGGAAGGGAGCCTTCTCTGAGCGCAGAGCCCCTCGGGATTTAGGCTGCACCCACACCAAACATCCAGAACACTATCAAGCACCTCACAGAGCTACAATCAATCTCTCTTCCTATGGAACTCGGGGAATTGAGGGCTCTCCTAACAACTTTCAGCAGCCACAACCAACTACAGTTCCCAGAGTTATTTGAGGGAAGCCAAGGCTGTTAAAGTGGCATAATAATGCGTGTATTGTGTCAGTGCAGCCTTGGAACTCTTAGTAAGTCAAGGCCATTTATCTCTTACTGTGAAAATGCCATTTTAGCTTAGAAGTTTTCCAGCTAGGGTCCAGGCAACTGTTGGAAACTTATAGGGATTTCTTAATTAAAAATATCAGTAATGGCAAGTGAAACTCTCTTATAATTATATATTTTTTTATTTATACCCCGCCAATCTGGCTGGGTTTCCCCAGCCTTGAAGAGTTTCACCTGGCAAGCTAAAACGCATGCACTGATGGAACAATTGTAATAGTGTGACAATGAATTCCGCCCTTTGAGAATAGGTTGTAGATTGCCACAGTTTAGAACTGGAACAGAAAATAGAGTCTAGGGTCACTACACATAATTCTGTGTCACACTCTGCTCAAGGCAAAGACATGCACACATACACATGTTTTGGGAAGTTACATCATGAAGCAGACGAACACCAAGAAACCTTTGAAAACAACAACTAAGCCCTGTTAGGTTTGCACTGCTCATGAAAACTATGAGAAATATGGAGCTGGTTTCAGGAACCAAAGTCGCTCGGGCAACAAAAAGAATCTTTTCTTAAAGTGTAAAGTACTGCATTTGTTATCCAAAGCAGCCTCTATTCTGCTTTTAAAAAATAAAATAAAAAATTAGCTGTGCTCCACTGGCCAAGGCATTCATGCTAGAGGTGAGATAAAATTGTCTCCCCAAATTATCTATCCTACTATTTCGGTAGTGAAATTGAGGGTGTTACTTTGATTAATATTCTCAGGGAATTTGTGGGCGAGAGGGGTGGAGAATAAATTTTCCAACAGTTTTTTGGGGGAGTGAGACTGTTTAGCAGCAGAAACAGAAACCACCGTGTCAGCATCCAGCCAAGCTGCATGACCCACAACACCCCAAATCATGTTGGCGTAGTGTAGTGGGGTAGCCAGAAAAAGAAAGAAAGAAAAAACCACCCAGTGCAGAATTTTTAGAGAATCTGTAGGATGGGGCAGGGCAAAAAAGAAAATTATCTGACATTTTATTCTTCTTCCTTTTTTTTGGCATACCTCCATTCACAACAGTAGTAAATGTTTACATCAGTGTTGTTGTTGTTGTTGTTGTTGTTGTTGTAATTTGCATACTGCCCTATACCTACAGGCACAGAGGTCAGGTCTGAGGCAGAGATTGAGGGGCAGCAAACCACACAAAAGTGTTCATTCTGCCATTCCCTAATGCAGGTCCGCCCAACTCGTGACCCATCAAGACGGATACAGCCCCCCGGTGACATATACCGTGCCCTGCCAACACACACATATGCAGCCCCAGGAAAAGAGCCAAAACAGATTTACTAGCAGGCATCGTGCATTTGCTGTATCTGCTCAGCATGGTGAGTCGCGAGTTGTGCAGGTGTGTCCTGCTAGCTCAAAAGCAGGAGCTGAGGCATTTTTGAAAGTCAGGCTACATCCTGGACCTTCCTTTCAACCACGCAGGCTGGCTCTTGATATTCTGCTGCTGGATAATAATAATAATAATAATAATAATAATAATAATAATAATTTATTATTTGTACCCCACCCATCTGGCTGGGTTTCCCCAGCCACTCTGGGCGGCTTCCAACAAAGATGAAAAATACACTAAAATGTCACATATTAAAAACTTCCCTGAACAGGGCTGCCTTCAGATGTCTTCTGAATGTCAGGTAGTTGTTTATCGCTTTGACATCTGATGGGAGGGCGTTCCACAGGGCGGGTGCCACTACCGAGAAGGCCCTCTGCCTGGTTCCCTGTAACCTCTCGCAGTGAGGGAACCGCCAGAAGGCCCTCGGAGCTGGACCTCAGTGTCCGGGCAGAACGATGGGGGTGGAGACGCTCCTTCAGATATACTGGACCGAGGCCGTTTAGGGCTTTAAAGGTCAGCACCAACACTTTGAATTGCGATTGGAAACGTACTGGGAGCCAATGTAGGTCTTTCAATGTAGGTGTTATATGGTCTCGGCGGCCGCACAATGCATTTTGCCATTCTATTTTCTCCTGGCTGCAGCTCCTTTTCCAGTTCTGAAGGGAAGAGACTGTCACTCTGCCGCTGGCTTTATGCTGCCCTTAAGATTTTAGGGCTATTGCTTTTATTTTATGGGGAATGAATTTGTCATTTCCTGTAAGCCACCCGGATGACATGTTGTTATTGAGTAGAATACAAAGGCAGAAAGAAAAAAATAGATCAATTCATTCCATTTACAGTGGTATCTCGGGTTACATACTCTTCAAGTTACATACGCTTCAGGTTACAGACTCCGCTAACACAGAAATAGTACCTGGGGTTAAGAACTTTGCTTCAGGATGAGAACAGAAATCATGCTCCGGAGGCGCGGCAGCAGCAGGAGGCCCCATTAGCTAAAGTGGTGCTTCAGGTTAAGAACAGTTCCAGGTTAAGAATGGACCTCCGGAACGAATTAAGTACTTAACCCGAGGTACCTCTGTACGTGCTTGCAAGAAGGGCTGCAATCAGGGCAGCTGCTTGCACACTACAGGCCATCATGTCCAAAGGTTTGGGGGCAGGTGGAAAATGGTGCCCCCGAGAGGATTATCATTTTCCTGGGACCCCCAAGACAGAATTCTGCTGCTTACAGAGTTGGGCTGTCCCTGCACAAATACAAAGCTCCTCTCAGGAGCATCACATCTGAATAAACTGCGTCAGAACTTTAAGAAACAACTTACCTGCTGAAGAGTTCAGAGCAAGGGACTGAATTGAAGTGATCAAAAAACGTAGTAGTTCACTATATCCATGTCACAACTGGAGATTTCGGGGAGTCTAAAGAAGTTGCATGAAGCCACGTAGCTCTGCAAGAGAAGATTTAACATGTTACACTGCAGAAAATTCACTTGCTAATGACATACCTTTGAGCCTTTGCCCAACTACTTTGTTTCTGAACCCTGATCTGTAACTCAGCCCCTACCTGCAACCAAAACAACTGTATATGGCTTGCCTGTTTACCCCTGCCTCTACTAAGCTCCCTTCCGCTATCGTTTTTCTTGTAATGAATTTTAGATTGCAAGCTCCTTGGGACAGTGATCTGTCCTCTTTCACTCTGTAAGATACTATTATTATTACTTACCGTATTTTTCGCTCTATAGGACGCACCGGACCATAGGAGGGGGAGAACAGGGAAAAAATTTTTTTTCTTGTTCTCCCCCTCTAAAACAAGGTGCATTCTCTGCGTTCAAGGTGCGTTTACCCAAAGCCTCCGGAGCCCAGCGGGAGTTCCCTCTGGGCTCCGGAGGCTTTGGGTTCCTTTTGACCTGCTCTTTGGGGCTGGCGGGGGGAAGCGCTGCTTTCCCCCACCGCCAGCCTCCAAACCAGGTCAGGGAGCAGCGCGAAGGAGTCGCGCGCCTTCCCGCTGCCCCCAGAGCTTGTGGGACTGGCGTTGCAGCCTTCCCCCCACCTTCGCACAGCCTTCGTATCCTCTGTCTCACTGTTCTGGCTGCGGGGACAGCCTTCGTAGCCTCCGCAGGGCAGCGGGGTGAAGCGGAGGCTTTGCGCAGCTAACCCCAAGCTAGAACAGCGAGACAGAGCGCTGCGCAGCGCTCCATCTCCCTGTTCTGGCTTTGGGCTTAGCTGCGCAGCCTGCATTCGCTCTATAGGACGCATACACATTTCCCCTTAATTTTTGGAGGGGGAAAAGTGCGTCCTATAGAGCGAAAAATACGGTATATGTTGCCAAATACAAAGCATTTCTAGGCAACTTACAAGCACAACTGAAAAGCAACCATAAAGTTAAATGATAAACAATACCCCCCCTCCCAAAGACACACATCCAGATCCACCCCCCCACTCCAGGTGTTATCACAATCAGTCAAAATGCTGGGAGAAAAGGTATGTCTTGACCTGGTGCCAAAAGCATGTAAAAGCTGGTGCCAGGTGGTCTTTCCTGGGCAAAGCATTCCATGTACACACCTAATGATTCTGATGTTAACACCACCAGCAGCAGCATTTGTGTTATTTTTGAGCGTTCAAAGCACTTCCTGTACATTATCCCAGGGATCATATAGCCACCATGTAAGGTAGGTTTGAGTTGTTATCCAAATGTTGCAGCAGTAAGGCTGAGGGTGAGAGAATGTGCCCAAGGCCACAGGAAAGACACAACAAACATTTCCAAATGTACCTGAAAACTAGGTCTACCAGCTTCAACTCACAGTTGAGGAATCTCTGGTCTGTGGCTCAAATTAGACCAGCCAGCAGTTCCAGTTTCCCCCCAAGGACCATCTATATGACATCAGGTGTGAGGCAGGTACAGTACAGTAACAGTTGCAAAGGAACAACTGGGAGCGTTAAAGCGCATTCTTGATTCTTCCTTTGCCAGAATGGCTTACATCTGTGACGGTTAAATTTGGCACAAAATACAAGCCCTACTAGGTTCAGCTACATTCAATTTCGATCCAACAAAGTGAAATTCAAAAGTAGACCCACAAATATCCATCAACAGACTCACTGTCCCCAGGGCAGAAATCAGTGGTTGCATCTAACGCTAGTCCTGCTCAAAGCAGACCTACTGAAAACAATGGGCATAAGTAACTTAGGTCCATTAACCACAATGGCTCAACCCTGAGCACAGCTCTAGAAATCCCAAGAGGTTTACTCTGGCATTAATGTGGGACAGAAACTTTTCCAGGTTAGCTGCAAAGGACACCCTCTCCTTTTCAGGGATTGCAGAGAGGAGGAAATGGCCTTGAAGAAGATGCTTTCCTCACAGCCACTTTCCTCCCACTGTAGGCAAGGGGTTTTGAATTCAATCTAGTAGAGCATCTCCACAAGACTGCCATTAGCTGAACAGCTGCACACTTAGTCTATGGAGCAGATGGCGCAAAATTTCTATGATCTCTCCCCACCCTCCACGTTACTTGGACTTAGGCATGCACAAAAGAGCTAAAGAAATCCTTTCCTGGGGTCTTGTGCATTAGAAGCAGCAGCAACAACAGGTCTCTAGGATGACAGATTTACCATCAAACAGCTGTTTCGGTGATGTCAAGCCTGGATGTTCAACTAAAACACCAGTGAAACACAGTTGTTGAAGGAACAACTGGATATCATCAGCTGATACTTAAGCAGTAACTGAGTTGACAGTAAGAAAGCTGATAATATCAGACCCACTGCTGACAAAACTTTATATATTTTTAAAGGCCACTTCCCAGCAACCCATCATGCTTCAGGAGGATAGAGTCCTGCACATAAACAGGCAAGGTTATGAAGACAGCTCTCCCAATGCTAAGGGAAAAGGTTGGTCTCCACCTCAGTTGTGTCCCTGAATGCAGCTCACTCATTCACTCATGGAGCTAAAAGATGTATTTGAGGAGAGCTTTGCTGTGAGGAACTTCCAACCTAGTGCCAGGGAACCTGGCCTTCACTGGCAGATCTGCCAGAGCAGGCATAGGTAAACGCAGCCCTCCAGATGTTTTGGGACAACAACTCCCATCATCCCTAGCTAACAGGACCAGTGGTCAGGGATGATGGGAACTGTAGTCTCAAAACATCTGGAGGGCCGAGCTTGCCTGTGCCTGTGCCAGTGTATTGGTAGACATGGACTGTCACATCTGCTTGAAGGTTGGTTACAAGCTGTATCTTCTGTGAAGGAGAATCCCTGGGCTGCTGTAATGATCTCAGGCAGGCAAGCAAGTCTCTGACAGTTTTATGTACGTTTATTTACAATTTACATCCGGAGATGTAATCGTGCCGCCATTAGCTAAAAGTTGGTCACTCTGAGTCTCCGCCCCTATCACAACATGTGGGGCACCAAAGTCCAGTCCTTCCTCTTTTGTACTTCCATTGCATCTTAACCCTTTTGGCTCTTCTGGTTCGAGGAGAAGGTGCGTGAACCCCCCCCCCCCGCTATCAAATGACAATTCCTCCAAATGCTGTCTCCCTCCTGGTTGCATAGCAACCCCCTCGATGTCTTCTGTCTCCTCCCCTTCCTCTGTCTGTGAGCTCTCCAAGTCTGGGAACGCTTGATAAAGGGGGGACCGAACTACCCCACTCCTGCTCTGACTGTGGCTGCGATCTCTCGCTTCTAGAGTCAGACTCTGTCTCCCTTTGTACAGGCATTCCTTCATCTCCAGAGACTGTCTCTTCCCAGGTGTTCAATTCAGCCACGTCCCTGACAGCTGTTAAGGATATGCAAAAGGGAGTCTGAACTGAAGGCAGGAAAGGGGGCTAGTGCTGGTGACTTGTGGAAGTCAGCTGGTAGTTCACCACCCCTCATATCAGCAGAGTCCTCAGAGATTTCCTGCTCCCAGCAGACAGCTTCTTCCAGAGTTCCTGGTTAAGGGGAAACTCCTCTCCCACACAGTTCAAAGTAGCAAAGTCTTTAATGTCTCCAGACACAAGATAAAACTAAGCACTGCTATCTCCTAGATGCGGTTCTTCTGGCCTTTGAAGTAAAGATACATATGTACAAAGAGAGCCACTAACACTATCAACATGCTAGCTAATGCTGTGTAAATTGTGCAGCCTCTTCCCCTGACTCTCCCAGATTCAGAGTCAGATCCTGACAGCAAACAGGATAGCAAAAGGGCCTGAAGCAGGACAGGGACAACAGGAGAGGACGCACATAAGGAAAGCAATGCCCCGGAGACTATTATACCTGTCTCTACACATAGGCATATTTACTGAACCAATGGGAGGGCAAATGACTCAGCAAGTCATACACTCACTGGTGTTGCTATGGTAACCCAGTGCACCTGGCACCCTTATCTCAGAATACCCATATGTGGATGATGTGCTCCTCAAGACATGAGACTGAGGACTGTGTAGGTCAACCCATTGTCCTCATGACACCAACAGATGGCTACACAGAAGACACAACAGATTGGCTGGAACAGCTGCCAATAAACTAAAGAGGCATCAATGTCATGGACTGGCTGGGTGCAGAGGAGCGGGGTGGGGGACGACGACGACCAGCTGGGGAATCCCCAAGGGAACCCCCAGGGGAAGAAGGCTCAGAGCCAAGAGGTGACAGTTAGTGGTCAGAGGGAGAAGAGGGGGCAGACTGGGAGAAGGAGGTGTCAGAAGAGGTAAACAGGGCTTAGTGAGCAGGAAGAGGCTGGGGAATGGAGAAGTCCTGACTCTGAGGCAGATGAGGACGGGGGCCAGGAGACAGAGAAGCAGCTGAAGAAATCAGGGAATCTCCCCCTCCTGCTGCAAACAGCTTGCCTCTGCCCTGGTCTCCCAGAACATTCAAAGAAACAAGGGCAGAGCAAAAAAGAGACAGAGCAAAAAGGGCAGAGCAAAAAGATGAAGGACCCTGAGATTGCTTGGGAAGGACGGGGGGGGGGGAGTCTTAGGAAGCGTTGGGAAGGCTCCTTGCAACTGCTCCACTGGGGCAAGACTTACTGGAAAGAGGTGCTGGGATCTCCAGGCCTGCACTGTTTTGGTTGCTTTGAATAAAGAGTTAAGTTCCCAGACACTGGTGTTTTTACTGCTGACTTGCTCCTGACTCCGGCTGCTGACAATCAAGGACTTTCACAGTAATATCATAGTGGCAGACCAAAGATCACGACCCTGGCTGTGTTTGTTTGCATGGAGAAGCTTCTAGGGGAAGGGGGGCTGAGCAAGGAAAGAAGGCTTCTTGACCCAGCAGTGGGGAACCACTGACCCACAGGCCTAACAAGACTGTTTTGGCCAAGCCGCATCCACCAGCCCTATTTCAGTTGAAATATTCCATGCTGTGCCTTTGGCGGGATGGTTTGATTTCAGAAGAAAATGGACAGAGGAAGACTGTCCACCTGCCAACATTGGCCTGCAAAGGTAGGAGATGCAGGGACCTGGATACAGAAAATTTGAAGGCAGTGTGGGGGAAATGAGCCTGCAACTATATGGACCATTGCAATACTTCCATGTAAGCTAGTAGAGAACAATCAGTTGAGAGGGCTCTCATTGGCTTTAATATACAGTAGTCCCATGGAAAATCCCCATGTTAAACCATTTCACCAATACACATTTAGGCATTCTCATTTCGGGGTCAATTAAACCATTATACTTAACATTTCTGTGTCTGCATGTTCTTTTTGTTATTATTTCTTTTCCCTTCTCTATTCCTGCCCGCCCCCCCACCACGCCACACCTTTCTGGGTTTTTTGTATAAAAGTCTTGGTTTGGTTATTTTTCTCTATAAACCTTAATAAAATCTATTTTAAAAAAACAAAAGAGGGTGTTTAGTATGAAGATAAGAGAAAATGTGAAGCGTTATTTTCTTGAGTAAGCCATCATTTTTATTTTGTTAGTTCACCTCCCGTTATTAATATACAGTGGGTTCATTTAATAATGTAAGGCTTCTTAAATAATTCTTCAATAAGTAATCATTACCATTTAATGTGCCTCACATTCCAAGTCTTGAAATATGAAACACGGAGGCTCAGCTGATAACGGCTCTATGGTTCTTTCCTCCCTGCGCAAGCCATTTGCCTGGATAGTCCTTTGGATCTTTTTACACTAGTTATGGTCTATATTTTGCATTCCTGCAGGCACCGCTGCCCCAAGCAGAGAGCAGAATTGACAAAGGCATTTTAAAGGTTTCCATTAATTGAAGACAGTTCTGTTTCTACGCCATGCTCCCTGTGGGCTGCGCATGCCAAGTGGCTTGACCACCGCAAGCTCCGTGCAAGCCGCGCGCCCCAAGTGCCACATGAACACTGGGAAGAGCCAGGGCCTCTTTCCCCAGCGGCCACAGGTAGGCCCAGCGAGGTCCGCCATAGGCAGCGGAATATTGAGGTTGCCTGGCCCCCTCCAAAGAAAGATGGGGGGCCTTTCACACACACCCCGATGTTGCCACTGCCCCCTGTGCTTGAATTTAGGTCCGCTTCTCCCAAGGAACAAGCCTTTAGTGTGACAGACCCTCCCTTGTAGAACTCCTCGCCCACAGAGGTCCAGCAGAAATCATCCTTGCCATTTCTGGGGCACCTTTTGAAAACTATTATTTAGACGGGAGTTTGAAAGACGAAATTGTTTTTGTCAACCAGTAGTTACCGATGCTTTAATTTATCTTATTGTAATGTTTTGTTTTTTTGTTGCGTACTGCTTTGCTGTATTTTTATGGAAGGGCAATATACTGTATTTTTCGCTCTATAGGATGCACTTTTCCCCCTGCAAAAATGAAGGGGAATGTGTGTGCGTCCTCCGCAAGCCTTCGGAGCGCGGCGGGAGTGCCCGCTTGCGGATAGCAGCCTGCAGCCCGAAGCCTGGCTTCAGACAGGTATCCGCAAACCTTCGGAGCGCTCCCCCAGCCCGCAAGCTCCGGGAGCGGCAGCAAGGCTACGCAACCTTGCCTCCACTCCCAGACCTGTTCTGGGGGCTGGGGTCGGGGGAAGCTCGGGCTTCCCCTACCCCAGCCCCAGCCCCACGGCTAAAAACGAAGCCGCTCACAGCCTCTCCCGGCTGGAGAGGTTGTGCGTGGCTAAAGAGGAAGCCAAGACAGCCAGCGGGATGGATGTTGGCTTTCTTGGCTTCTTTGCTCTTTGGGGCTGGGGAGGGGAAAAATAATTCCCCCCCTAAAAACTAGGTGCGCCCTATGGTCCGGTGCACCCTATGGAGCGAAAAATACGGTAATTATTTCTTTTAAATTTACATTATCAATTATTTTAATTATGTTATTTTTTAAACAATCCTTCTTGCATACTGTTCTTTACACATATAATTCTGAAAAAGGAGATTTCCCATGATTTTTCACAATAAAGAGGCAATAAGAGCAAGCCCCTAAACTAACATGCATCTAGCTACCTTAATTAACAAGTATAAATGCTCGCGTGTGAAAAACCCAGCTACGGGCATGGAAAAGATGAGCAAATGCACTTATCTTTGCAGAGGATCTATTCACCTTCACCCGTGTTATCTTTCCATCTCTGATGACTTTCACGGAGGTGCAAACACTATGAACACTTTCATAACACATGAAAAAACCCTGGAAAGTTGCCAAGTTAGTTACCACAAAGGCCTGTTTAAAAATAGTCACACATGCTGGAGACTTTACTGAGAAAGAAGCAACCTGCAATGTTTGCAGAGGTAAAACTGCAGCTGCAATTATTGAAAACCCGACGAGAGAATAAAATGTGCAATGACTATAGACCCTGGAAGATTTAAACCCTGTATGAATGTGGCCCTGGATTTATACCCCTTTGTTGAATTTTTTGCCATATAACTTTTGCCCTGTAACCTCCTAATTTCAATCTTAACCAAAGCCACACATTGCTAGCTTTGTTTGCTGAGACGTTTGCAGGATGCTCAAAGTTCCTGTCAAGCACACAAGGTATCTTAGAATAAATTAGACAAAACAGGTTATTGTATCGCTTCTATCCCCACCCCACCCTGCTTCCCCAAACCCTTGTCTTGGCTACAGGTGGCAAAACCACTGGTTGAGAAACTGGGTGCCCTGTTAGGAAACATGCTTCTCTCAACTTTCGAACTGTGGTTTATTGTCAAGGTGATTGGTCAACATGGGAGACGTGCGTTTCTACTGGCTGCGCACTCCAGGAGCATACAGTGGTACCTTGGTTTAAGAACAGCTTAGTTTATGAACAACTTGGATTAAAAATGCTGCAAACGCAGAAGTAGGTGTTTTGGTTTGTGAACTTTGCTGTGGAATAATAACGTGTTCCACTTCCTGTTGAGTGTGTTCCATTTGTAAATTGAGTCCCTCACTGCTATGGGAAAGCACGCCTTGGTTTAAGAACACTTTGGTTTAAGAATGGACTTCCGGAACGGATTAAGTTCTGTGATAGGAATTTTATGGTCTTAGATATATGGTAATGTTCATAACTGCACATACATAGATCAACACAGGAAGACCAACCTGGAACCATTTTGATTCCTAAACTGACCAAATCCTTTCTCTGCAAGGTTAAACTGGAAAAGCCTCCCCATTGTCTCTTTCCTCACAAATCCTGTCTCAAGGATATGTCCGTTTGAATAAGGTGTGAGCCTGTGACCTGGCCCAGGAAATAAGTATTTTACCACCACAAAAGAATGGCCAGGCTCCTCAGGCAATCCAATCAAGTAACCTGCTAGACAGGAGATAAACAACAATAGGATAAAAACAATATTAAAATTTCTGTGATGTAGGTGGGATGTATCTGAGGGGTGGTCTTAGGTTACACCCCTTCTGTGATGTATGCATAATGTTCCTGGGGGTGGTCTGGATCTAGAGGATGGGAATTTCAAAAGTCTTTATAAACCCATGCACAGCATTTTTGTGGGTCCTCCGCCTTTCCTGCGGGTGAGGGGAGCACCCTGTTGCAACAGATCAATAAAGATCAAGCTTACTAGCTGCTTTGCTTCTCAATATTCTCTGGTTGGCCTCTGTTATTCTCTCCTACCAATAGGGAACCTATGTAAGGACTCTATATGGGCTCTTGGATACCCCATAAGGAAAAAGGGCATATTTTTTATTTTACAACAGTTCATAAACCAAGGTACCGCTGTATTGGGTTACTGGAGAAATCACAAGGGAGCAGTGCTCACAGAGAAGTGTGATTCACAAAGGAGGCTGCCATTACAGATTAACCAGGCCATTAGCTCTCATACATAGTAAGAACAGCATTCGCTACATGTAAAACACAAGAATCTGGCCAGGGGAATCTGAAGATAGTCACGTCCAGTCAGGAATGGGAGCGGCGGTTCAGGTTTCTAATCTCCTACGCTGTGGGGTAAATGTGAAACCAAAGAAACTTTAAAGCAACAGATTACAATATGGCATGGGGGGAATTTGCTCTTCAAGGTCACAAGTCCACCTGAGCACACCCAAGGGTCTGCGTGTGCATAAAATCTTGGCCAATGGAACTGGGGCTATAAAACAAACCACCCACAAATGGCCTTTTGATTTGGAAGAGAAACCCGTAGAAAACCCGATCGATCTGCAGCTCACCTAGCTATTTGAATGGGTACTAAAGTCCCATTCACAGGCTCAGAACATACAGCAGTCATACCAGTTCCTACTAATATTGCCTTGCAGGTCAAAGCATCACCTGGCAGTGAATTTATTCTGCTACAGGGATGATGCCAGGGCAGAATTCGCAGGGATAGGCTCATTTTGCAAAGATGCATTTAGTTTATGGTCAGACCCCAGAGCCCTCTGTGCACAGAGAGTAGAGAACAGATGTGTTACATTAGTTCCTACCAACTGCACACAGTGTGAAGCCACTGGATTGGACAGGCCAGGTATAAATACTGGGTGCCTACCTTTCTGCCCTTGCCTACTCAACAGATCCATATCCTCCCTCGCTTTGCACTTCAGACTCTAGCTTCCAGCTGAAGCCACTGATCTTCAGCTAGAGAAATATATCCACCTTCCAGATTCTGGTATGGCTACCCATGGCATACAGTGGTACCTCAGGTTATAGACGCTTCAGGTTACAGACTCCGCTAACCCAGAAATAGTGCTTCGGGTTAAGAACTTTGCTTCAGGATGAGAACAGCAACTGTGCTCCGGTGGCGCAGCAGCAGCAGGAGGCCCCATTAGCTAAAGTGGTGCTTCAGGTTAAGAACAGTTTCAGGTTAAGAACGGACCTCCGGAACGAATTAAGTTCTTAACCCGAGGTACCACTGTATTTGCAAAGAGAAAGAAACACCAGTTTTAATACTGGGTATTTATGGCTTCCTTGAATAATGATACTTGCATTTCTGTACTGAATTTCCCATGAAATTCCAAAGTCAATGAAATAAGAATATTGAGGGGTATCTTCAAGGGGTTGTTCAGCTTCTTAAGGAAGACTGGACCTTCAGAGAGAGTGTACCTTTTAAGGCTCTAACCGGTCAAGAAATGAACAGAGACCAGACCAGGATATACGAAAGCAAAGCTGCTATAAGCCTGATCTTTATTAAAGCTGTTGCAACAGGGTACTCCCCCCCCCCCCACGCAGGAGAGAGGAGGACCCAGAGCAAAGGTGTGCAAGCCCTTATATAGACTTTGAAATTGCCCACCCCTGTAGCTCAGTACCATCCCCCAGATACATCATACCTACAGCACAGAAGGGGTGTAGCCCAAGACAATACATCAGAGAAGGGGCGGACTACAACAGAAATCTGAGTGCATTTTTTTCTTCTTCTCCTGTCTGCTAGGTTACCTGATTGGATTACCTGGGCATCCTGGCCACTCTTTTGTTATGATAACTACTCAACTCCTGAATCCAGGTCACAGGTCACAGGCTCACCCTATTCATATCTTAAATGCATAGCTGTCAACTTTTCCCTTTTCTTGCGAGGAATCCTATTCGGAATAAGGACATTTCCCTTTAAAAAAGGGAAACATTGACAGCTATGCTTAAATGTGCCCTTGAGACAGGATTTGTGAGCAAAGAGACAATGGGGAGGCTCCCCCTTTCCTTCGACCTTGCAGAGAAATATTTGAGGTGAATTTGGAAGAGAGAAAATGGTTTCAGGACTTTGTTGTGGGTTTCAGACATGTGGTTTACATATTTGTATGTGTTTGCTTGGTACATTTATGAACATCTATTTTATATACCGTACCTTTGCGTATTCCTCAAAGTAAGTGATAGCACTGTGCCCTCACCAGGAGGGTGGAAAGAGATAAAGCATTTGTGGTTTTGGACTATCAGCTCTAAAAGGATTAACCTGTGTGCTACAAATTAGACAGCCAAAACAGTGTTGTAGCAAACAGCATTGATTAATGTGCATGTCTGAACCTCTGAGACGTAATGGAATGGGAGGCTTCAGGGCTGGTAAGACCTGAGTTCAAATCCTCCCTCACACGTGGAGATCCTTGGGGTGACATTCACCAATTCACTTCCTCTCCACCAAACCCCTATCACAAGGTTGTTGTAAGGCTAAAATGGGAGTGGGGACATGTATAACATCAGCAGCTTATATAATGAAGAACAGGATAAAAACGCAATAAACCAACCAGCCTTAAGAAAAGGCGAGTTATTATCATCACGCTCTAGGGCACAAGTCTCCAAGATCACTGCCTGCGCTGAACAAATTCCCCAGCCCTAATTTAAGTATATTTCAGAAAGATCCTCCCTCTCTGTATCAGCTAAGAGTAATACAATAAGCAATTTGCTACTGCTAAGATGACAAATGCAAACCATCTGTTTAGACTCTCTTGAATTTACAATCTTTCAAGTTATACTAACAGGCATTTTTATAAAACTGTAACACTGGGGCAATTTATTTCTGTGTTTGCTTTTCCACCTAAGTGATGAATGCCTGTTTAGTTTTACAAGACTTTTATAAGTCCTCCCCAGCTAAGTTTGTAGAGATGCAGAATTAACAGTAAAAATAGGGATTTCACTGTACATCAGCTGTCTGTTGAATTATGGAAAGGGAAAAATAACAGTGGAAGAAGCAAACTTAACTCAATAACATAAATGTAGAGATAAATAATGCTGATCTCTTCAGTTCGTGGGGATGTCGACAGAGAATTGTCTTTATATGTGCAGATCTAAACTGAAGTATGGTAGTCAAATAGCTTGAATCATAGCTATTGAGCTGAATTCATTTGATGAGAATGGCTATTAAATAATATTTTAGTGACTAGCAGCTCAACATCATACATGTTTACAGTCATCCCTCGGGTTACAGACACTTCAGGTTGCGACGTTTTCAGGTTGCGCACCGCGCTGAACCCGGAAGTACTGGAACAGGTTATTTTCGGGTTTCGGCGCTTGCGCAGAAACACTAAATCACGTTTTGACCCTAAGCACCGAATCGCCACCCGCGCGTGTGCAGACGCGGCGCTGCAGGTTGCGAACGTGCCTCCCGCACAGATCACGTTCACAACCCGAGCGTCCACTGTACTTGCAAGTAGGGTGGATAAAAATCAATGATTTAAAAAATAAATTTTAAAAATTGGATTTTTAAAATTTAAATCCAATTTTTTAATTATTTAAATCAGATTTTTTTAAATTTAAATTGAATTTTTAAAATAAAATGCTTTTGGAGGAAAAATCTTTCTAAAGATAGTTTTCTACTTAAGTTACATTATAGTCCAAAGGCTATTAACCAGGAAATAAGGATTTGTTTTAAGTTTTTCATGTGTGCTAAAACTCAGTCTAAGTTTTTGTTTTGTTTTTTTAAGTTTAACCACATCCGTTATCAAACATGGATACATAGGCTATAATGTTATTGTTTTAGTTAAATAAATTGTTTAAATTGTTATTAAGGAAATGGTCATTTTTCACCTTCCAATAAAGTACAGCAGAAAAGTTGTCCAAATATAAACAGTTAACTTATTAAACCTCACAATAATTTCATAATTATCTGTCTATGTATTTCTAATAGTATAACCAAATCAGTAATTTTTGATATAACTGTAAAAACTACTCTGAAAATTTATTATTCCAAAAATGAAACCTTCATCTGGTTGTAAATGTTAATTTTTCTGTAAAAAAAATATAAAAAAAATTAAACCAAGTCTTGCTAACTAGTGATGTAAATTGTGATTTAAATCGATTTGATTTAAATCAAATCCACCCTGTCTCCTGGGCAGTTTTCCTTACTCAAGAACACCCACAAACTCTTTTTGGCAGTGCAAAAATCTGCCATCATATAAAAATGGATGTGCATCACAGGAGTTTCTAAGATGGCAGTGGCTGGCAAAAGAACTGTCCCTGGCTGTATCTCCTAACATATCTCTCTACACAGCTGTAGATGACCATATCTGATCATTGGCAGCAGCCGGGCAACTTAGATTAATGGTCAGCTTGTATCCCTTCTGTAATACAAAAACAGCACATTATTCCGTCGTCCCCCATATGATATCCATGGGTGAAAGTAAAGGGAACCAACTCATGGAATCAGTGGATAGAACTTAAACCCACCTGGGTGTAGCAGTGACTGAGCTCCGTGTCAAAATGTCTTCCTTTTAATCGAGACTCAGTCTGTAGCTTCTTTACTTTGTCCCATAGAATTAGACTGCAGCCGCTGAGATTTGATCCTGCCCCTTTCCTGCACACCCCACCTCTTCCAGCTAAGTTTTATTAGCCATCTTAAGACAGATGGAACAAAAGCTGATCACGACAAGTGGCAAGCAAGCATTAAAGCAAAATAGCCAGTCGCCCCCTTCCTCCCGAGCCTCCCTGCTCTCTACACTCATAAATGGAGTCTCTGCTCCAGAACTTGGGAGGTCAGGTGGATGGAAACTGGAGACAGGACCTTTTGAATGAGGACACCCCAGCATCAGAAAACTGCACTCTCCCCAGGGCTGTTTCCACAGAAAAGCAGGCACCAGCTCAAGGCCTCTTAATTTGCCCAAGCTCTTAAGAAACAGCAATTGTGAATTTTTACGGCTCTTCCTTATCTTCAATTTCTTGCATTTCTTTTATTGCTCCCTTACTATTAACTGTAATAAGGGTCATTATCAACTGTGCCATTGTAAGCTGCCACCATAGGCACTTCTAAAATCTGAATGTGTGATATAAATATTTAAAGTAACCATTAAAATAAAGTTTGTGGGGGAGAAGTCGTTGGATAAATTTACCCTCCCCCTTTAATCATAGGTATATTTACGCCAAGCAAAGTCTAATAGGAGGGGAGGAATTCAACCTAGTTATTCTAGCAGAGGAAGGCTCCAGACAGCTATGAAGCATGTTCTCCAATTTAGCTGTCAGGTTGCATTTAGCATTCAGCGCTGGTCCTAGAGATTTTGCTTGCCTGAAAATGTAAATGCAAATTAATTTGGATTGGTGGCTTAGAACGAGCAGTGAAATACACTTATAACCACAATTCTCTCTTTCAAATCTCTACACCCACAAACCTTTCCACCTACAAAGCAAAATTCCAAAAAAATGATTGAACAAGGACCAGATGATTTTTAAACAAGCCAGCCCTTATTTGCAACTGGAATCTGCAGCAGCCTTCAGAAGCAGGCTCTCTGCCTCTCAAAGGGCAGCTCGGATAGGATTGCATCTGTCTTTAAAACAAAACATGGGTGAATTTCTCAGTTGGTTCAGGTTTTCACAAGTGACACTAAAATATTTAATGGTCTCTGTGAGCTTTGCAAAGCCAGGCATGCAGATTCTCCACTTAATTTTTGGAAATGTATCACCTAGCAGGGAAAGTCACATCATATTCAGATTCTAAGGCAGGGGTAGGCAACCTAAGGCCCGGGGGCCTTCTCAATCTGGCCCGCGGATGGTCCGGGAACCAGCGTGTTTTCACATGAGTAGAATGTGTCCCTTTATTTAAAATGCATCTCTGGGTTATTTGTTATTCCACCCCCTTCAAAATATAGTCCGGCCCCCCACATGGTCTGAGGGATGGTGGACCGGCCCCCTGCTGAAAAAGTTTGCTGACCCCTGTTCTAAGGGCATCTGCAATTGCCAAGGAGCTCCTTCTGTACCAGAGGCATTCTTGGGAAACGAACGTGGCGCTTGGCTACAGACTCTCAACCGTGGTTTCAGCCTGAAGCAAGCCTGGCCTCCTGGCAAATATATTATTTAAAAGCATTTGTTTAATTTCCAGAAGCCTCCCAGGTATCAAGGTCTCCCATGGGCACCTTTGAGAAGGCAACGCTAGAGCCAGCTCACCCTGAGCAATGGAGAGCCTCATAGTTCAGAACATCAGCACTGTGAACGTAGCACAGAAATTAGGAGAAAAAGAGAGAGAGAGAGAGAAAGAGAGAGAGAGAGCGCATTTCAAACCATATTTTGGCCTCATGTGTGCTTTTCAGCAGTTGCACCAAACAGGAATAAAGCAAAAGGCTATTTGAGCTACACTTGCTAAGGCAGACCAAGTCAGCAGGAACTTGGGCACTGATTTAAACGAAGAGAGGAAACCTCCAGATACAAAGAGATATGTTTATTGAACCCAATGCATCCATTAATTAATTAATTTGCAACAAAGTTGGAGACCAAAGAAATATTGAACAGGGTGAAGCATTCTAAACAGGTTCAACACGTTGGCTGATTTTGCAATTAGTTGGTGGTAGCTATAAATAATATCTTACCTTAAGATGGTTCTAAGAAGAAAAAAATGCTAACTTTGCTAACAGTGAGTTCCAACAAACCTAGCGTCATATCCCCCCTGCATTTCCCCCCATTTTGAGGACCTAAATGCAGCTCTTCCCAGTCAGCTGGTTGTGTCAAAGCAAAGCATTCAAATGGTCAGTGTTTAACCCTCAGGGGTTCTATTCAGCCTATTTGGGGGGGGGAATCAAAAGCCCATTTTAAGGCTGACTCTACGGCTTACAACATGTGACAAAGAACACTGCACTAAAAACTTTATCAGTTGTTATTTTACAGTACTGCTTCATATTTCCCATAAAGTAAAATGAATACAGACACCTTACTTAACAACTGCAGATTAAGAATATTCTTTATATTCATATAAAGAGAAGGCAAATACAATCCCTCTCCCTCCCCAGTTACACCATTTTGAATTTTGAGAACGTTAGGAAGGCTTCTCTCTCTCTCTCTCTCTCTCTCTCTCTCTCTCTCTCTCATGCTTTAATCCCCAAGTACACAATTTTTAAGCCACTGTACTATTAGAATTAAATTTCTCTCACTGTTATCTCAATATATTGTTGTGATATCTTACTTAGGTGAAGAATGGAAAGACATACAGTGGTACCTCTAGTCGCAGACACGATCCGTTCTGGGGTGCAGTTCGCACCCCGAAAAGTCCGCAACTAGAGCGGCGCTTCTGCGCAAGCACAGAGTGCGATAGAGCGCTTCTGCGCATGTGGTAAAACCCAGAAGTATACACTTCCAGGTCTGCCGCGTTCGCAAGCCAAAAAGACGCAACATGAACCTAACGCAACACGAGGTACAACTGTATTCCACTGCACCTCATTTTTAGACTAACAAGGTCATAACAATGCCCCAATGAAGATATGCTTTTGAATGCATCGACAGTGCCAGTCTGGTGAAATCTCAGAAGTCGCAAATGTAAATACAGTTTCTAGTGGTCTAGAATGCCCTGTATTACTTCCTTGTTTTCCCCCTTCACTAGCAAAATTATGGCAATAATTGTACAGTGGTACCTCGGTTTTCGAACATAATCCATTCCGGAAGACCGTTCGAGTTCCGAAACATCCGAAAACTCAGTCAGGAAGCCTCAATACAGAAAACTCAATACAAAGTCGTGTGGCATGTTCGACTTCTGAGGCATGTTCAAAAACTGAAGCATTTACTCCCGGGTTTACAGCATTTGAAAACCGAAATGTTCGAAAACAGAGATGTTTGAAAACCGAGGTACCACTGTATTTGTAAACTTTGTGCAGGCTACAGAATTCAGCTTTTCCTGAAGCAGAATTTTTAGTGTGGTGTGCACACAGTTCTGCTTAAAGCCTTTGCAAGCCTAAAATAGAGATTTTTCCATGCCTTGACTTTCAGTTTCAATCTTGAACACAGTTTAGGTGTTTGGTCAACATTTCAACAATGTTTTCCTATGCATTCAAGTCATAGTTTGTTAATCCTTTCCACATTAAATTATTAGAGGTAATTTAGATATCTTTCACAGGAATTATATTTTACTTCCACAATATTGCCAAGTGAAAAGAACAGAACAGAATGGAACGGAAAACCATTCCATCAGAATATAAAGAATATAAAGAATGTAAGCAGAATGAGCCAAAGAATAATTGTGGGTTTAGGTTTCAAGACAGGAACCCAGCCAGATTTTCAAATACATACTGCCGCAAATTGGGCCAACAATTTCTAGTGCTATATTGCCTGCTTGACTATATAAATATCTGCAAGATTTAGAAGAATGTACAGCTCACACAAATACACCCACTCAGCTCCTGGACACCTGAGAGAAAATCCATGGATGTCTTCTGCTTATCCCACAGAACTAGGAATTCATGAAATGGCTCAGTTAACAACAGAACTAAGAAATGGTCCACTTATAACATGGTGGGTTGTCTATATTCAATGGTGCAGAGCAGGAAAAACAGCAGTTCTAAGACTGCAGCCTCAGGCACACTTACTCGGGAGTAAGCCTCACTGTACCTAATGGGACATAATTTCCATAGACAGGATTGAGCTGAACATAATATATGCCCTGTTGCAACAGATAATAGGGGTTTATGTTAATTCATTTTATGTATCAGAATTCAACCTGCAATATGGCAATAATACTGACCTACTTTACAAAGTTGTTGATTGGAACACTCTAGAAAGCATTAGGGGAGATCCACACTTAGGCTGGGAATGTGGGTTCTGCCCATAGAGTGAGCCTGCAGAGAGAACATCACATCTGGCCTACATAGCAATGATTGCATGCTCATACACATCATATTTCCTTTTCTAGTTCAAATTCCTGCTCTAGCTAAAATTTGTCAGTTCCCTCTATAATACTAATAAGATTTGTTATCAATTTGTTTCTAAAACTCTTATTCAGACCTTAGGTGTTCCTCAGTTATTGTAAAGCAATTGTCATCATGGTTTATTTTATTTATTCCTTGCATTGATATCCCATCTTTTTCTCCAAGGAGCTGGACTCTCCCACACCCCCTTTATTCCCTACAACAACCCTGCGATGTAGGTTAGGCTGAGAGGCAGTGATGGGGCCAAGGTCACCCAGCGATCTTCATGGCTGAGTGAGGAGTTGAACCCAGGTCTTAGTCCAACACTCTAACCACTGCACCACACTGCCTCTAGTGCGCCTCCACTGCTGCTGTTCTAAGCCTTTTTCACACGGCATTAGCCACAATCCGTACGTGGTTTCTTGAGAAATGCTGCTGTTGCAACTTGCAACATGTGAATACAACTTGAAACCCAGCAAGGGGAAATGACCTCACTGCGTTTTAAGCTGTGAACGGGTACATAGCCTAAGCCTCTTCATGGTGTTGCTGATGGCTTGGTTACTCTCTTCCACGGTCCCTCTGTTCATCAAACACAACTCCTATTAAAGCTCCACTTTCTTCTGCTATTTCTTGCCTTCTCTCTTGTGGCCCCTTATATAGGAAACTCTCCCCTCTGAATATGTGGCTGACCTCTTTTCTATCTCACTTGATTTAAAAATTCAATTTACGGTAAGTGAGAAGCAAGCTGGTCATTTCTTTTAAGACCATAACTTAAGGCTGATACAATGTTAGCCCTTCTGCTATGCTCACCCTTCCCAATATTTGCATCTGCTCAGGTGAGGTTTCTCAGGTGAGTAGCACCAACCTGCATCACAAAGCCAGCTCTTAGATACCTATGAACCCAGAGCTGTTTTGAGCTTGTTAAGCAAATGTCCTTTCAGATCCCACTATCTGAGATCCATTTATTTTGCCAAAGCAGGGGGAATTTGATACAGGGGACCAACATGAATGTCACAGTTGCCTGTATTCAGCGTATAGCATATAAATAAAGTAAAAGGCACCTTTGCTTACAGGTGTATGCATCCGACCCCATTTTGCCTGCACATCGTGAATGAGAGGGGTCACCTGTGTAAAACAATGACACTGGCATTAAACTGAAAAGTAATTAGATAAGTTTTGAAGAAGCAACACACAAGCATTTACAAACGGATCAACAAAAAGCTCCATAAAGACACTGTCAGGAAAGACTGAATCCACTTCAGCCACCCTTTCCATACCCAACCAGTGGCGTAGCGTGGGGGGTGCAGGGGGGGGCCGGCCGCACCGGGCGCAAAATCTGGGGGGGCGCGCTCGCACTCGCAGCTCTCTGCCCCTACTAAAATCCACGGGTTAGGGGGCGCAAATTACTTGCCTTGCCCCGGGTGCTGACAACCCACGCTACACCACTGTACCCAACAACAAATATTTAAAACCTCAGCAGGAGAAATAGGAAATAAGAATGCAGTTTGGTGAAAGTATTTCTAAAAAGCTTCATCTGAGGCTAGAGCTGCTCACTATGTGCGATGCAGTCAAGGCACCCCCATGTTGTGTTCTGCTACTCTCCTCTGTGATATTTAGGAAACAGTCACCCCATGTTCATCCCACCAGTATCAACATGCGTGGGAAAACATGCAACACGGCACACATAAATCTCTGGTCACTGAACGTTACAGGGGAGAAGCGAAAAACTTCATGTCACATGTAATGTGGCTTATCAGCCTGACTCTGAAACAGCCTCAAAGCCACTGGACAGCAAGGGTCATGGGGTGTTTTACTCTGAGTAGACCTACTGAACTTAATGAGCAGGACTAAGTTAAGTCCATGAATGTCATTAATTTAAAACGTCACTGAATGCTCAACCCACAGGATTTTAAGCCCCCTGTGCAGCTGTTTTGTGCTTTTTGCATTTTCTAACATAAATATATTGGGTGGGGAGGGGAAGATCAAGAAATCTGAAATGGTAAACAGAACAGGAAAAAAATCTAAATGTAAATTTAATGAATATGTTGTTCTAAATTTGTTATAGCAGTGGTGAGGAACCCCTGGCTTAAAGGCCTAATTTGGGTACCAATTTAGCTTGCAAAACTGTCTTCTTCAAATCACACCTCCCTGCCCTCCACTAGACACCACATAGGGCATCAGATGTGGGGCAGGCGGAAACTTCCAAGCAAGAATCGGGAGCCTTAAATTGCTCCCAGTTTTTCCCTTGGCAGGAGGGGTTTTCTGTCTTTGCCCTGTAAAATGTGAGAGGTGACTGATGATGGGGAGGTGCATCTGATTAAATATTGGGGGGGGGGGTGAAAGAGGGACTACAGTATAATAGCTATAGTACTATTGGAAATGCTAGTTTGGCTCCACCAGTCCCACTCTGACCTTGACCCCACCCTGGTAAGAAGCAGCGACACCACTGCCAAGAGGCCAACTCTGTTGTGCTGCCCCCGCAAGCCTCTCCTGACCGGCAACACACATTTACCGCAAGGAAAGCGACGAATAGAAAACATCCCTACACTGGTGGAGGAAGAGGAGTGCGGGGGGAGCGCACCAGGCAGTGCAATTCCGGCAGGGTGCCATCGCGGCTGCCCCCCTGCACTGGGCGCCCTGCCCCCAGGACATGCGCCAGCCCCGCCCCCACCTGCTCTCTGCCCCCCCCAGCATGAAGCCACTGTCCCTACAGTAATCATAGGATCATCTGCCCCACATGCAATAAAACAGGGGTCAGCAAACTTTTTCAGCAGGGGGCCGGTCCACTGTCCCTCAGACCCTGTGGGGGCTGGACTATATTTTTTTGGGGGGGGGGGATGAATGAATTCCTATGCCGCACAAATAACCCAGAGATGCATTTTAAATAAAAGGGCACATTCTACTCATGTAAGAACACGCTGATTCTTGGACCGCCTGCGGGCCGGATTTAGAAGACAATTGGGCTGGATCCGGCCCCCGGGCCTTAGTTTGCCTATCCATGCAATAAAACATATCTCTCCCAAATCAGTATCTACAGCCACAGCAGCCAGCAGCTGTAACTCTCCAACGGTGTGACTTCTCCTGAGCCAGATGGATGCCAGAACTGTAGAGCTGGAAGGGACCCCATGGGGTCATCATTCTAGTCCAACCCCTTGCAATGCAGGAATCCTTTTGCCCAAGGTGGGCCTCGAACCCAGGACCCAGAGATGCTCAACCAACCGAGCCACAAAAGGTAACCAATTACTACTGTTTCCAGCCATCAAGCCATCAAACTCATGAGCTTCAGCTCACCTTGGGCAAGTCATTCTCTCTCTCCATCAGCCTCACTGGGGTTTTCCTCCTCGGAGCAAGGGGGGAGTCAGTGGGACCAGGGAGGATGCGCTGCTCTGAGGATGCTCCGAGGAGAGCCTGCAGGCTCAGGCCAGTGGCAAGGCGGACCGAGGCGCACCAGCCACGCTTCCCCTGCGCTCCGGAGCGCAGCCCGGCAGCGGGAAGCCCGGCCGACGGCTCCCCGAAGGGAGAACCCGACGCACCCCCCGCCCCGCCTGGCGGTTCCCGCTCAGGTCCGCTTCCTGCACCGAAAGCCTCCCCCCCCCCCGGCTCACCTTGGCCGGCGCGCGAGGCCGGGAAGTCGAAGGAGCCCACGGCCTCCCTGCCGGAGCCCAGCGTGGCTTCCGCCGCAGCAGCAGCCCGGGGGGGGGTCTCTCCGGTTCCCCGCCCCCGACTCCCCCCCCCGGCTCGAGCGCGGAAATCCGGCCAGGGATCCCCCGGAGCAGGAGCCGCCCTCTCCCTCCCAGACCCCCCCGCCGCCGCCTCCCCCCTTGCAAAGAACCGGCCCGCCCAGGAAGCCGCTGCCCCCGAAGGCGCTGGCTGGGCTCACCGGGGCGGCGGCGGGGGAAGCCGCTCGGAGTGGGCGCGAGGTGGGTCTCCGGCCGCCGATGCCGCCGCCATGGGAGCCTCCCGCCCGGCCTGGCCGGCTCCGCCGCCTTCCTGCCTCCTGCCGCCGCCGCCGCTCGGCTGGGGGTTCGGTCCGGCGCGGCGGGCGAGGGCGGTCCGTGCGCGCCGAGGGAGATGCGCTGCGCCCGGCCGGGAGGGAGGGAGGGAGGGAGGGGGCGTCTTCCTCGCGCGCAGCGGGGGGCGGGAGGAGGCGGGGGGAGGGCGAAGCTCCGCTCCACTTCGCCCCCCGCCCCAAACCAGCTTGTGTGCTTGCAGGATCGCAAGCCTCCGGAGCAGGAAGGGGAGCGGCTGATGCTGTTTGAAACGCGCATCTTCCCGTTGTAGGGGGGGGGGGGCGGAATCTGAATCTTGCTGTAATGGCAACTAATAAGAATATTTGCGGGGAGGGAAGTCCCCCAGTGGGGAGCAAAGTTTAAAACGGAAGAACAAGACACCCCTGAGCATCTGCAGAGTGCTGGAGGGCTCCAAAAGGGCAGGCGCCTCCCTTCCTCCGATTCTGTAATCAATCACAGAACTGCAGAGTTGGAAGAGACCTCAGGGGTCATCTAGTCCAACCCTCTGCAGTGCAGGTCTTTTTGCCCGATGCTTGGCTCGAATTCGCCACCCTGAGATTCGGTTTCAAGCTTTACTGACTGATTCCTGGGACTTCTGTGGAATATGATTTTTAGTATGTATATCTTTGTTTCTGCAGAAGCGGATTCAGGGCAGCACTACCAGTTCCCCAGCACTGGGCTCTGATGCACAGGCAGAACTGGAGGCAAGGGGGGTGGGTGCCAGATTTTGGCCGTGCGCAGGCTGTTGCCAAAAATTTGAAAGACCAAAGCGCGCACCCCCCCCCCCCGGAAATGGCATTTAAATTAGTCAGCTGTTTTTGTACAAAAATGTGTTTTTTTTAATATTGTGATTTTATGCTGTGAACTGCCCTAAGAGCTACAGGTACAGGGCAGTGTACAAATTTAATAAATAAAACAAAGTCAAACATCTTCATGTTTCCCTGGATGGGAGCCTAAGGCTGTCAGTGCCATGGCAAATGTGTGGCTGTGGCATCTTAACTCGGCACCAGATCATGCTCTCAAAAAACAACAACCCTGAGTTAGAATACTGGTTGGCTGCTGGAAGGGGAAGAGAAGGAATGGAATGGGATCCAAAACAGGCCAGCTGCAATCCTGAGCAGGAGCGCCCATCTCTGTCTGCAAGAGTCAGCTGGAGGTGCCATTTGTTATTAACTGCTCGATAAGACGGAGGCTCCACAATGATGGATCCCGGTTCCTGCAAATTCTTTTTATGGTGATGGAAACCACCCAAGTATCTAACATAGGCAGCAATTGTATGGAAAAGCAAGGCTTTCCAAGAGACACCACACACCCATGGATTTCCATGAAAGGTCTTTACATTTGCCCAGGATTAAAAAAAAACTTTTCAGTGTATTATGCTGCTTTCACTTCTCAAGTTCTGATATTTTAATGCTGCTTAATATTTGTTGTTTTTAGTTTGTTTCTTTAATTTCCCAGTTGTTTCATCACAATTTTTATATGCAGCCCTGCAAGTGTGTGTATTGAAGAGCAGTTCTTGCATACATAGATAATGTGGTGAGGCAAAGTGGAGAACTCTGTGGACTCCCCTAGTTACAAGAATTATGTCCCTACGCAAGTGCATGCATGCAACAGTTTTTGCTTTTGGTTGTTTATTGCTGTTTTATAAGAGCAATTCCAAAGATCAAGTGCGGTGATTACATTGCTTTCTGCTCTGCTGAGCTGTGGCATCGTCGCCACTGGACAAGGTAGAAGGAGGGAGAGACGGTGCAGAGGAAAGAGCACAGGCGAAAATATACCAAATAGTCCGCTAACAATTTTTTTTAGCAGAAATGAATGTGTTTAGCCAGCAGCTTGCTGTGCTCAGTAACCAAGGCACACACGTCTTTTGTTTCCACAGTTTCTGATTTTATCATGAGCTGGGGTATTTTGAGTTAATATTTAAAATGTTTAAAACATTTTCCTGCTTGTGGGTGTTCTGTGCTTACTACAGAGATTCAAATGGTGGGCAAGTTGGGGAAAAGGAACTACAGGATTGCAGCACGTGAATATGAATTGCTTTTCTGCAAGCATATTTAAGTTAGGCGGAAGCGTCAGAAAATCCAATCCAAGCAAATTCCAGAGCCCATTGGGATAAAAAAAGGTGGGATTTATTTACTTATTTATTCAATCAATCAATCAATCAATCAGTCAGTCAGTCAGTCAATCAATCTCCAGGAACATATTTCTTGAGAACCAGAGGAGAGGGCCAGAATCCTGCAAAATAAGTCTGAAGGTTTTGTATACTCCTGCATGCTATTATTTTTACTACTATTAGTATTTTTAATGAAATTAAGTATAACTTGTATGAACGTGAGAAGATTGAGAGAGTCTTTGAAAAGGTGTCTCTGCAAGGAGTCAGGAAAATCAAGCTCCAGCCGTGGACAGCTACAAACATGAATTTGTTTTAAGTAAAACATCACATTAAAGGAAAACAACATACATTGGAAGAGGAAACTCTGCATTGCAAAACATCTGTGCCCATTTGCTTGGACCTCAAAAGTTGTACAGTAAGGCCTTCAAATACAAATGATAATGACCCTTCCTTAGTCAAGTGCCAGGCAAAATGTTCTAATGGGGCCCAGTGGGGCAGAATTGCTACACTACTTTCCTGACAGGTGGGTTCACTGGTGCTTACTGGGAAGAAAACTGGGTAGGGCAAGGCAGTGGGGGGGTTGGCACAGTGTGAACACACCAGCAAAGCCAATCGTGTCCACTGCAACAACCTCCCCACTGCCTTGCCCCTCCCACTTTCAGTAAGCAACAACTATGCATCTGCTAGGAAAGCAACCACAGTGGCTCTGCCCCAATTGGGGAGCCACTTCAGAGAGACGCAGCAAACTGATGTGGAAACTGGGGAAATTGGAAACCCAAACTGACAGATTCATCCATCCAGAGCCAAGGATTTCGCTGCTGCTTCCAAGCCACCTTGGTCATCCGAGAATGAAGGTCAAAGCCTCCAATGAATGACTCTGTGAAATGAAACAAATGGTGAAATTCCTGGTTTGGTCAAGATCCTTTTTGTTTATGCCATCAAAAAATAAAAGCCAGTTCCCAACATTCTTTTCTACCCTTGTGACACAACAAGCAACAGAGATCAGGACCAAGGTGTGCAAACGGGAGCCGATCAGGAAAAGTGAAGTGCCAAACTTGGATGAAGAGCAGATGTCTCTGCTCTTGACAACGTGTGGCCCAGCCCTGGCTGAGAAGGCTCCTGCAGGAGGTTGCGTCCCCAGAGAGCCCTTTAATAGACATGCCCTCCCTTTGCACATGTGCCGCATATCAGAAGGACAGGCATTTTGCTGGTTAAGAATAATCTCCAGTTGGCGCTCCTGTTGGTGTTGATAGAGCTGCTTTGTGAGCCCATTTCCCTCCCGGAATCCTTGCTCAGTAATTTTCAATGCTGCATCAGCAGGAAAGGAAAGCGAACAGAAAGAGAGGGAAGGGCGCACTCACGCTGGCCTCCTGCTGGGAGGGATTTTTGAGCGCTTCATCCCAGAAGCCAGCCAAGCTCCTGAACAATCCCACCACTCAGGACAGCAGTTCATGCAGCTGGTGAATTGAATTGTAGTTCACAAAGGCTCATGCTATCATATATCTGTTAAGTCTCTAAGGTGCCACAAGCAAAGTACTGTAACATGGACCTCTGGAAATGTAAACGAGAGTTTTGATTGCTGTGAAATCCATAGTGCTGTCAGTGAGAATGGTGCTGCATGAACAACAATGGATTGAATGCTTAAATATTGTACCTGGATATATCGGATTCTTCCCAAAGTCCTCATACTTCCAAACACCTAGGTGCCAAAATGAAAGACTGGATATTTTAATTACTTTGGGGGTTGCTGGTAATCTTATCTTTTAGAAATATGTTTTGTCTATTTTGATCTCACCTCATTACTGCTACTGGCTGTTAATACAACCTACTTACTACATATTAATTTTATTGGTTTTTTTTAGGCTGGTTAATTGGTTAAATCAACCTGTTTTTAAGTTACATTCTAGCAGATTTACATATTATCAAATCCTTAACCTAAAGTTCTTTTTGAGATACTGCAATTTTATAACTCAAAGTTACCACTAATTCTTACCAAGAAGGCCATTCTTCCCCCTTTCCCCATCACAGTAACACATCAAATCCAAAATACCTAAAAATAAATAAACAAGTACGAATAATTAAATGCTTCTCATTCTCCGTACCTGATCTCTAGCAGCTGCCACAAGCTGCTCAAGGGAGGAGGGCGGCGGCCATGGAGAGGCCATGGGATGCCCCCATTGCAGCCACCACTGCTGCCACCACAGTTGCTCAGATGAGCACTGACTCCTCCTCATCCCTGAAGCTGGCAGCAGTGGCACTAACTGGAGAAATAGAGACATTCTGGGATCAAACCAGAAGCCAGGACGACTTTCATAATTCTGGGACTGTCCCTGGAAAATAGGGACACTTGGAGGGTATGTAATCGGCTGTTGAACGGAAAGTAATATAGTGCAACTGACTTTCGGGGTTGGTGTGTTGTGCGACAAGGACACAGAGTGCAATGAGATTGAGTGGGGGGGGGAAGGCTCGGTTAATTTCATTGTACACAGGCTGTACATTGACAATAAAGATATTATTATTATTATTATTATTATTATTATTATTATTATTATTATTATGTGCAGGGGCTCCTTGGCAGGCAAGCTGATGTTGCAAGAGCTATAAACTTTTGGAAACCACTGGTGGTGGCAGGCCTCATCAAGCAAAGCACAACACAAACCTTGTACGTCAAGTTCAGGAAATTGCAGGCAGGCTGAGTATAGATGTGCACCAAAAGAAGAAATGTTCACTTGCAATCCATGTTTCATCCCACTGCTTATGAGTTGGTGGATTTATGCTGATTTAATGTATCTTGATAACACTACTTTGCAAATTATTTTTAGCTCGCT